AACAATAATGTCTGAATTGGTCTGTCATAAGGTAGGGCACTGATAATGGGTTGACGGGTATGGAATGCATCGTCACAAAACATCATCCTGATTGTGCTCTACCGGCTTTACGTCACGATCAGTGCATCACACTGCACTCGAGAATTGCCCGCAGAAGCGGAGATTACAGAACTGCTTCTTAGAACCCTCTTAATCAGAGCATCGAGGGCAACACTTACCCACCAATCCTGCTGTAGAGAGAGAGGCAGATTCATTGTATACCAGCCTAGCTGATGTTCATCTTTCACAGAATGAACTTAAATAAAGTGCAGAACCAAATGTAATGATTCTTTTTAACGTCCATTATCGAGGTTATTTTGGGTTAGATCGCGTAAATATAAATGTGTCGTTAAACCCGTCACCACCCGACACAGTCAATAAGTAAGGTTTGTCACGTTAACAAAACATGCCAGTTAGTTACTCGTACAGCACACCGCTGTGTTGGAGAGTGAACCCACAACATTTATAATTCGAGTACCTTTTCAAGTCATTGACAATCTGAAAGAAAAAATAATAATGTACCGTTAGAGAATCCGTCTCCATGAAATGCTCTGTTGTCACTTCCTGTCGATTTGAAGCCTTGCAAGGTAACTGAGTTTGGCATGATTAGCCTCTTCACTTGCAACCCCTACGCAAGAGCACACATCCACACAGGACAAAAAAAAACATTCACTGCATTCGTCACGAACGAAAAGTCCAAGTGATTTCCTGCTCAATTGAACATTGAAGTCGTGAAAACTTGACTTCAAAGTTTTCGTGATTGCTTCCGTTGCGATAGAAACGTCGTGATATTTTTTATTATTTTTATATCTACGTGGCTTTACCGAAATACCCATAGAATATTGAGGTCGTGGTCATTTTATCGACCCTAGAGGAATGATAGGCTCAGTCAACGGGCAACCAGGACTTGAACTGACGACCTTGTTGAACTTATTTCGCAACGTATTTAGCCAACCATCTTAATTGGAGGTGCGGGGGGATGGACAACAAACCAGACACAAAAAGCAGTTCTAAAGAAATGAGTTTTCAAATCTCGATTTAAAAGTAGCTTCCTAATATCGGAAGGAAGAAGAGCGTTCCAGATGGCCGCAGAAGTGCATCTGAAAGTGCGCGATGCAGGGAATAACACTTTATTCTCCTACAGATGGAAACAGATGGTGATTAGTCCAATTGATGTACTGCCTTCTCCTGGCGAGCCAGGGTATGGCACCTCAACACCCACGGGAAGGAAGTCTCAAAATATTTGTTGCGGTGATCCACCAACTTTCGCTGCCTCCGCTGTGCCGAATTACAGGCGACGTGCATAGCCACCACCGCCCGGCTACGGAATCATCCAGGCTGAAGGAATGCATTCTTTAAATATACCAGTGGAAAACATTTTGACATTAGGCAATCCACGTTACCTGTGGTGGCAGAAGTGGTGGTAGCGAGAGCTGGTGAAAATGACGATCGGCCTCGAGACGTCGAGACGTCAACGCTCTCCGCGGCGAGCGTCCGCCGCGTAGGAGTGAAGTTTGTCGGGGCACCTTGCGGCGCGGGGTTTGCAAGGTTGTCCTCCTCGCGAGGACCGCGAACGTCACCTTATATTGACAGTGCGATGCCGCGCTGGGAGAATAGGTGGGGGGCTCTCAAAGTCGAGAGTCAATGACCCGAAGTTCATCGCAGGAGGGGGGGGGGATTTTTTTTATTCGACGACCAACCAATGCTGGGTTAGGAGGGAAGGGTGGAGGGTTAAACAACTTGCTGGGGTTGCAGTTTAAGAGGAAGCATTTCAAGCGTGCTCTTCAAGTATTAACGATGGGCTTGTTTTAAAAGTAAGATTTCATAGTGTTACGCTACACGGATGAATTTCCGATTTCATATTTACAGAAATAGGATTTTTAGGCCCAATTTCGGATTTTATTTCATATCTCGTAATTACGTATTTAAGTGTGTGACATTTTAACAACTCTCATTGTTTATCGAACTACGTTTAAGAGTACGTAGACCGCAGATATGGATCAATTCAAATCAGCTCGTTCAGACGCAATCGGGCAGTGTTGCTTTGACATATTTCACCACGCTGGTCAGTGCAGCTTTGAAAAGTTACACATTTACCAATGGTGGATAATCACTCGGGATAACTGGCAGATTAAAGTATTGCATGGCCATTGTCTTGGGTTTGTTGATGCTACAGAGAAAAAAAAATTCCCGAAGAAAGGATGGGAGTCATACTGAAACGCACACTCGCCAATGCAAGTGGTGAACGTTGATCAGTCATATATAAAATAAAGGGGTTTTTGGGGGTTAGATCTTGTAAATATAAATGTGTCGCTACATCCGTCACCACCCGACACAGCCAATTAGTGAGGTTTGTCACGTGAACAAAACGCGCCAATTCGTTAGTAATTGGTTTTTTACCCTTCTATCTGGCAACAAAACTGACACCTTTTTACAAGGAGTCATGTTTGCATAGACCGCAATACCTGCAGTCATAAATACAAACAAAAGACATAACTCTAATAATGTGCACTGTTCCTTGAAGTTGATTGGTCCATACCCGAGACAGCTTTCCTTAGAGCCTAGTCTCACATGGGTTGGACCAGATGACGCCAAAAGGCGCACAACTCAAAGACAATGCACCATCAGAGTATGAGAGCTCGGGGCAAGCATCTACACTATGGGAACCTCATTTGGCAGTAAAAATATGATAATTGGTTTTTTACCCTTCTATCTGGCAACAAAACTGACACCTTTTTACAAGGAGTCATGTTTGCATAGACCGCAATACCTGCAGTCATAAATACAAACAAAAGACATAACTCTGATAATGTGCACTATGTTGGAGAGTGACCCTACAACATTTGCAATTCGAGGACAGTGATGCTTTGCAGGTGATTACAACCAACATCACCAGACATCCAGAGTTGACAAGCCGCACCGAACCTCACAAACATAATATTCAGAGCCTACCTTGGCTCCTCCCACCCTCAACCAGTATATATAAAAATATGGTTTTCTTGGAATTTCTCTCACTTGATACAGCTATCGTGCTGTGACTGTTGCACCTGAAGACGGAAGCTTGTGTTGCCTCCGAAACGTCGTGATTTTTATTTTAGTTTTATTTTACTTTTATTAATTTTATTTTTTTACCTACGTGACTTTACCGAAAAAACCTATACCAATTGGCTGTGTCGGATGGTGACGGGTTTAACAACATATTTACGCGATCTAACCCTTCTACGTGTGAGACTGAATCATACAGTACTTTGCATTATTTCGTCACTCAGTAGTAAGGACAGACTGGCAACGGAGTTGAATGCCCTACAGATCGCTAATGCCACACACGCGCACACGCGCGCAGCTTGGAAATCAATATTCGAGGTAAACAAAGAAATTGGCTCGATGTTGGTGGATCTTTGGCCTTTGAACCTCACGTTCCGAGTAGAACGTGAGGTACCAGAAAAAGAAACATTAGACTTTGCGTTCGCTGTTCAAGCAATTAATCCTCACTAAATAATCTGCGGAATGTTGCGTTCGTGGTTTGAATGCGACAATAATTACTTTATTCTGTTTGAATTTGCATGGCAACACGCAATATAAAAGTACGGTAATATATCACAAAAAGGCAACTGTGCCATCGCGAGTAACCCGAAGAGCCTCCGTTCTGTGCCAGTGTTGGAATGTCGTGGTGGAGCGCTTGTACCCTGAACCCAACGACCTTAAATTGATCCCTGCCCACGGCTAACACCGCCGGTGAATATCTGCGGGTGTATTCACAGGAGAGAAAGTGCACGCCATCTGCTCTCACAGCGGACGTTAAAGATCCTACGACGTCAATTCGCAGAGGAGACCATAAATTTGAGACAATTATCCACAAATTATTCAATTGGAATCGATACAGAAATCATTGTGTGTGCCCCCCTTATCAGGACCCCTATTATAATGAGTCTCGAGACTCAGTGAGGATTTCCTTGATAATATGATTAACTTATTTTCTTCGTACGTAGGCAACCATGCTAATCAGATGTCCGTAGAATTAATAATAATGGTATCTGAACGGCTCCTGATGCCAACTCACACGAACTAAACAGCATATATTCTTAGTTTATTCGGTAAAGTTACGTAGGTAAAACATTTAAATTAATACAAGTAAAATAAAAAATAAAATAAAAATCACTACGTTTCGGAGGCAATACAAGCTTCCGTCTACAGGTGGAACCGTCACAGCACGATAGCTGACGGAAGCTTTGTTGCCTCCGAAACGTCGTGATTTTTATTTTATTTACTTTATTAATTTAATTTTTAATTTTTACCTACGTGACTTTACCGAAAAAACTAAGAATATGAATCCTTGCAGTCACGAAAGCTTCAAATCTAGAAACAGCATATGATGAGGTCTTCATCCAGCAGTGGTTCAACAAATATCAGCCATGTATCATTATGCTGGAATGCATCATTCCCATAACTTGCATTACACGTGCTTTCCATTCTTTATTGCCTATGCACCAAACATAACGATACATTGATCCTCAGATCTGAAATATGCCAGATGTTTCTTGAGCACATTAGTGGCTGGGGCTGCAGTGTAAGAAGAACCACGTTTAATGATGGGTGGCTAAAACCCATAAACTAAAACCCATAAGATTTCGAGTCTCAGTGTTTTCAGATGGGACTCGCTACCTAATCCACTCAGCCACCTCGGATAAAAACAGCCGTACGACCGAATCAGTAAAAAGGATCGAGTGGTGGCACAGTGGTTAGCACACTTCTTCACGATGAATCCAGATACCCAAATTCGATTCCGGGTTACAGCTACCTACCGTCATTTGCTCGTGTCATCTGACCCGGTTTTGTGCACCACCTCCCCTTCACCAACCCGCAATGACCAGCACGGTAAAGTATGGTCAAACAGCCCCCCGTGGAGATGCCTTATCCAACAATATGATAAGTGTCGCGTTTATGAGAATAACGCACGACGGTGAAGTATAACAGTTTTATTTCGAGCATAACACAACCAGTAAAAAGTGAAAAGGTTACTCCTCCAACAGGAAATGTCATTTGGCAAAAAAACGCTCAATAAGGAGGAGTGCATTAATCTCCGAATGCGAAACACACCATTTGTAACTCTGCTGGTGTAACCAGTGAATGGCTGATCTTTCTCGGTGGTTTGTATTCAAAGTAGACGTTCCAGTGCCCTACACAAATGAGATTTGCATTCGTGTAAAAAAATATAAACAGTACAAAACAAATTTCGATCACAAAACGAACACGTACATGCAAACTGTCGTACTGCGTATTCAATGACCGTGTACAATGTTAACGTTACACGCGTGTTCACATACGCGCAACACGGAGTGTAAAAGAAGGTGCAACGATTGGGGTATCCAAAAAATATGACGGCAGCTTTATAACGAAATGTCGCCGTTCAAGGATTTGCGAGCAAAACAATCGACTCTTGTTTCACGTGACAGTACGGTGACATGTAGCAGCCTCTTAGTGGACGGAGGGCGTCACGAGAAGCCATGAACACAACATGCCTCCCAATAAATCGATGTTTATCAACGCTTCGTTACATCCCCATCTAAAAAGTAAAAACGGTAAGAAATAGTAGAATCTTCGATGCAAGCGAGCGTTGCCATTTGCCAATTGGGTATTTTTGTTTGAACGTTTAAGCTATTTTCGCAATGTAATATCAAAAAGTACATTTACATCTCATGCTCTTATGCTGTTGACCGGCACGAGAGGCAACATGTATATGGTAAAGCCAAAAGGGATGTCAATGGCGTTATTTCTACTGTCAAGCAAAGCGGCCCATGGGGGGGAGGGAGGGGGGTGAAGATGCGGGGCCGAGGCAAATCAGTATTTCATCCCGACACCGTGAAATCAAAGCACGCTTCCCACCCCCCCCCCCCCCCCAAAAGCGCGCGGGGCCCAGGGCGGTCGCCCCGATTCGCCGTGTACCCTAGAGGGACGCCTCTTGTGTGGACAGTAATATGTACAGGTCAAATGAACCGTGGCCCAAACAGGAGCACGTTCCCTTTGAACGTAACCTATGAACCTAGCAATGGAATGCGCTCCAGCTGACCTCCGATGGAAGAAGTTCAATCCATTATTTGTATGTGGTCATGACCAAGATTAAGGTTGAGGGAGGGTGCCTAGAGTTGATTTAGTTCATGGGAGGCCATCGATTAAAATACAATTCCTTCCCTGCAATTTTGACCAGCACTCGGCCAATTCAAAACACTCCACTGTTATGAACCTTGGTCGTCGGTTCCAGGTTTTTAAAGGCGCCGTACAAGTTGTAAAGCTGAGTAAGTGAAAACGAACACAATTTTTCATTTCGGCACACATAGCGATGGGATGGTTTTAATGGCCAATTTGCCCCGATAGGATCGATTACGCTGGTACAGTATTACGTTTTAACCACCATAAAACTATATACTTTTGGAGGAACCTCAAAATATCTTCGACCCCGGGCTACAGCTCTTGCGTGAATCCGGCCTTATGCATGGCTAGATACGGGTAAATGTCAAAATGATCTATAGGAGTGTGACGAAGTGGACATCGTGTGACTCCACCAGACGACAGATCATGCCTTTACATGGTCATGCAAAGGTGTACACACTTGTCTTCACATTCATATCAAGAGCTCTGCAATATCACCAAGACATACATACATGTGCTAATGCTTTGTATTGCTTTGAAAGACTGCTGTGCAAGGCGCCTAATAAGTGCAAATTAATATTATTGAATAATTAACATGCACAATGTTATACTCAACGCTCTAAGAACTCTGTTATTGTGATGATATCGATGAAAGCGAATAATTATATAATTATAATCCAATCATCACCTCGACAGTCAGTGTATACTTCGGTACATTTTAGTTGATGTTGCTTGAGTTTATTTATGGTTAGATCGTCATCTAAGTATGTATATTTTACCCAGAACCCTCCACCGAAGCCAATCAAATCAAGTGTCACGTGGGACTCATGTACCAGTTAATTTGCTTTTTGATAAAAGCAAGCAAAATTTCGACACATTTTAGCATATTTAGTTGATGTTATAGCTTCATGACTTGATTCCCTAAACACAGAAGTGTGCATTAATTTTGTAACATACTGTCGTTGTTAAAGTGGTGGGGACTCTCATGTCCTTAATGACAGAAGTGTGAAATACAGACACACAGACATAGGTACATGGGGTAAAATGTCAAAAAGGTAAAGGTGGAGGCCTAAAAAAAATGCCTTGCTTGTGCCACTGCTGGAGGAAGGCCTCCACTAGGAGGCACCTCCAGAGAGCCCCTCTCGAGGGTGTTTTTGCCCGACTGTTCTGGGAACAAGGTGAGGGTACCCACACATTTTACCCCAATGCACACGACCTGCCCATCGACTGTAGTGTAACCATTCATACGACGAGTTGAACAGAGGCACCGAGTAATGTCCCAACGGTTTCACCTGCCACGTGGCGAGATGGAATCGAGCCGGCAACGTCTGGATTTTAACTCCGGTTGTGCTGCCCATTACACCGTGGCAGGAAATAGGTAAGAGATCAAACGGACTATTTCATAAATTAAAAACTACCCATTACCGGCATACAAAACAAATAGTATGTAATTTGCTGGGCGAGCAAAACTTTTTTTGTTGGAGACAACTCCACAAACATTGTTCTTTGTTTTTATAATGCACGACCATGTGAATCCAGAGGTCAAGCACGCAATGGCACATGCATAGTTGACCTTATGGGCACACACTGGGGTACGTACACTGCACCTCCAGCTACCCAAGGACGAATGGCACACAGGCGCGCACACACACAATGCAATGTGCGCGTGCGAGCGTGTTTGTTGTTACCCGCCGTTATGGGGAGCGGTGGTGTAGTGGTTAGCACGCTGCCACTACACTACCGCTACCAATCTGGCGACCCGGGTTCGATTCCCGCTCTCGGCGAACACCCAGTGACGATTATCTGAACCGGTCCTGGGCCTCCCCTAGGTCGACTCAGCCACAAATGAGTACCTGGTGCGATGTAAACATCGCCGTTAGGGAGACAAATGCGGCCGGGCGTGGTGTTGGCCACCCACCCCTTCGTGTGCCGTGCCGGCCTTTATAGGTGCTCGCTAGCAGCACTTGCCCCTACAGTCTGTGAAGGCTATACGGGTGGTCTTTGTCTTTGTTACCCGCCGTGACATTCAAAAGCAAAATTAAACAGGCGGAGGAGTGCATGCTGGGGGCGCGCTTGGAATTGCACCAAGATGTGGAACACACAGATTGTAGAAGGTACAAAAGTTATCACACCGTTAAGAAAAACGAGACATTTGAGTGGGCTTTACCTAGCCAGCGGTCGAGACTTACGGCAGAGCACCATCCAAGGGAGGGAATACGCCCGAGGGGATATCGACTGGGGAGTTTGAACGATGAAATCGGTTCGAGCCAAGCGACCGCCCTGGTTAATACCTCGCGTGTTTATCAACTATGCGTCTGTTTGACCGCTGGCTTTTAAGATATCCCACGACTTACAAAACAAGCGAGTCGGCCATGTGTGCCGGATCACGCTACAAAATTTGATAAATATGCAAATTATATTCTTGGTTCTTTCGGTAAAGTCACGTATTATTTCCCTTCTACGTGACTTTACCGAAAGACCCAAGAATAGGAATCCCTGCAGTCACGAAAGCTTTAAATCGAAATATGCAAATTAATTAATTGGGAGGCCAAATTGCTACATGTATAATGGCCGCTTGCTGGCCTGTTCCTGCGTTGACTTGATGCCTCACAGGGGCTCCTCTGCCGCATGCACTCTACGGGAGGCAAAGTATAAAGGTGTCCAGTGATGACGACGACGACAAAAGCACAGAGCGTAGTTGGGGAAAGGTGCGAATACTCAAGCATGAGCAATGCAGAGAACACAACCACAGCAAGAGCCGGCATGAAACACAACCAAGCACAGACAATTGAACGTACACAACCATCGACTTTTACCACAATCTCTGGTATCGCAGACCTCTTGACATGCATGTGCAATAATATACTACCTCAACCATGGCCTGAATTTGAGAGGTCTAATGTGAATGTAGTGAACTGGATATATTTTGTACAATTCAGGAAAATGCGTCTCAAATGTGAAAGGGTTTCAACATTTGCAATGTAAATGTAGTGATCTGTCATAAATGTGAGATCACCTTATTCCAAGTAATGACATCCAGCCTCTTGTGATCGATACACAACTAAGCAGTATGTAAAAAACACAAAAGGTTATTTTCATCTATCGTTAGTTGTCGATAATATTTCAAATGTATAGTACTTATAATTCAAATTTATAATGCGCATTCCATCCCAAGGACCCCAAAAAGCTTTACTTATGAAACGTGAAGGAACACAACACGGGCGATCCATGGAGAACTAAGATGATGATTTTTAGACTTCCAGTAAGTATATCTTCAACGTTGAGAAGAAACCAATTTGCAAGGCCAAAAGCCTGCAAGTAACTTTAATCGAAGACAAACTGTACGATAGAAGACCCACACGTCTACTCGAAAACATTGGAAAACCTTCATAAAATGTACCAAAACGCAGTATTCGCAAAACACACATTTTTGTTGTCGTTATTCAGTGCAGAGAAACTGCTCTACCACAGCACTGTATTAAAGTTAAAAAAAGAAAACGTTTCATACTGCGGGGGAAAAATGCATTTAAAAAAATTGTCAATAACTTTCCGATGTTTTCGGGTTGTGGCGTTGTGCTGTTGGACACGATAACCCTCACGATCCACGCAGTGCTGGGAGTCCCTCGCTCCAACGGTGGGTTCAAGAAGAGGGCGGTACACGAATGCCATTTCGACGCGCACATCGTGGGCGGTAGGGAACGACGTAAACCGGCGTGTCGTTACACAAGGCCGCGATGAGTCTCTCGCCGGAGTGATGTAAACAGCTCTCCGTTGGTGTTGTGTTTTTTCTGCAAGTTTCCCGAATTCGTGATGTTCAACCGAACCGATTCACTTCCTTAAAAGAAACTCCCGAGCGCATGGAGCGATAGACAACGGACATCGTGCCGAACAACAAGCGCGGTACGGAAAAAAAAACAAATCGCAGAGCTGCACGACACAGCCGCAAAGACCCAACTCGGCAGGACGAGAGAGAAAAAACGTCGTAAATAACTGGCTCCCAATTGGCGAAGCTTTCTATTTATCCTTCATCATAAGTTTTGATATCCTCACCCATAGCCTCATGCTAAAAATGTACCAAGACATTTATAGATGGCTAATCTAGGGTTTTCTTTTTTTCCCCCAATTTTCATGGACTCCACATAGATTCAAATATCTATCCTGTTCCCAGCTCTGTAACTTTTATCCGATTGCTAAATATTTTTCCACTTGCTCACCCAAAAGGAAGCTCCCATCTCCCGCTGATGCATATTATACGTACGTGAGTGTGTGTGTGTACAATTGAGTCTGGCCACAAGCTACAAAACAAACTATGCAGATAAATAATATCACATCCCAGTAAAATTAGGTCATTTAAATAACTTAAATCTCTCATTTGAACCCAAAAACAAGTTTCAATATTACGCCACTATCAACAATGTCTGGGGTTTTTGCTTTTTGTCTTCCAAGAATAGGACTGCGGTCATCCCCCGACACTGTCCAGACCGAGTTCCTCTTCAGCACGTCACTGAAGGAGATGAAGCTGGGTCAAAGGTCACAACCGGGTACCCGATACCCGTACCCTACCCGATACCCGGCTACCCGTACCCAGCCGGGTACGGGTACGGGTACCCATTTGCGACCCTGGTGTGGCCGAGTATGGGTACGGGTAAGGAATCAAAACCCGTTTGCGACCTCTGAGCTGGGCCAATGAACCACTAAACCGTGGCTTATTTGAAAGGTCAGTAAAATCTAACTTAATAACATCTCCTGTAGCCAATAAAATCAATATGATTTAGAACAAAGATGGAAAACGCAATGTACACAAATACAGAAAATGTGAATGCATCCCCAACACTTGCCCATGCCCCACAAAGCCCCTTACACCACTGTTCCACCGGCACATCTGGGCCGAGCCAGCACGGGGGGACCTCACCAGAACACGTGGCTTTTTCCACTGACTTTTTTTCCACGCGGAGCCAGAAGCAAACCGTGATACTTTGGGCCTCAACAGACATCTGGCTTTTTGGGCCAAGCAGGGTCATTCACGGGGCCTAATGCACGTGGCCCACTGTGAGGACGGCACCACTGCTTCGCCTGCACGCATCTCAGAGCGTTAATTGCGCGTGGAGTCTAGTGTTCACGGCTTGGGTTCTGCAGTGGAAAAAAAACAACACTGGCGCCCCTTTGAACATGTGCCGAGCTGACTCGGCACGGCTTGGTTGTGCAGTGGATAAGGGGTATAAGAGACCAGCTGATTTTAATACAACTTCTTCTATCAAAATCAATAATGAATGAGATTTCCACTCAAACTACTTGCGACTCTGGACTCCCCTCTGTCCTTCACACTGTTGTAAACTTGCTTAATTGCCACGTAAGACCAGCAGCCACTGTTAGGTTCTGTATGCGGACTTTAGCAAATGCACGCACGGTGGAAACACCTATGGCATTAAGATCTCTGTGTTTACTGCATTTGCATGGGTGTGTACAATTTAATATCCGCCAAGTTGGCGTACATGACGTGGATTGGAATGTCGAAAGCCATAGCACGTGGCATTGTTATCGGGGAGTTAAGTAAAAACAAAGAAGAAGTCAACGGCTGTCGGTCAAGGGACGGGAGATTTCCGACGACTAGTACGGTCTGTAGTTTTCAAATGAAGTGTAGCCAGAGTTGTAGACTTTTTGGCGTGGCGACGGGAAGTCCCGGGTCTTGAATCCTGGCTGCCCCATCCTGGGCGCGCAGCCTCTCAGCGGAGAGCCCCTCAATAACGAGGGGATTTGCCTGTGAAGCTTATTGCCTGCAACACAAAACACGCGTTCTCAGACAGGACCAAGGGGACCGTATAGCAAGGAATTGACGTAAGATGGACACACCACCGGGCAAAAGGAAACCCGGGAGACCCGAGACCACTTGGCGCAAGACCGCGAAGGACGAGCTTGGCGGCAGCGATCGACCTCCCTCGGGGCGAGGGCTCAACATGTTGCCGAGGACAGGGAGAAGTGGAGGGAACTCATTGTGGCCTCGTGTCTCACGGGATGAAGGAGATTAACTAACTCGCACAAAACACGTCACGCAAATTATTGTAGTCGTAATAATAATTAGGAAATTAATGAAAGGTGCAGCGCTTAGATTACATGCTCATGCCACTGCTGACAGAAGGAAGCTGTGGAGAGCCCCTCCAGAGGGTATTTGGCCTACTCTTCCACACTGGTTAGATTTCTTCTAAGTCACGGGCGTTTTATGTACAGTAATCCCTCGCCACTTCGCGGTTCAAGTTTCGCGGCCTCAGTGCATCGCGAATTTTTCGAACTGATTTAAAGACCTCATTATACCTGTGCAGTAACACCATCATCATCATCATTCATCATCACATTCATCGAACTGCACAGGTCTGTCATCGTCGTCATTGTCATCGTCATTGTCATCGTCGTCGTCGTCATTACTGGAGTCAAGTCTCAAGATACTACTGTCATTGGTGAGTGTAGAACACCATAATACGTATCGTATGAGAGAGAGAGAGAGAATGTATAATATTAAGGTTTTATAATTAAATAGATTTAAGTAAAAAATATATATAAAGTATAAATATACATATTTGAAACATTCTGGTACCCACACACACATATACGGAAATTCCTAGGGGGCCAATCCTACTTCGCGGATTTTCACCTATCGCGAGGGGTTCCGGTCCCCATTAACCGCGATAAACGAGGGACCACTGTATAGGTTATTATTAGCTGGCCAGGTGCCGCCGAGTTTCCAACATATGTATGTAGAAGTTTTTGCGCACCGTACGTAGCCAACCGTGCTAATCGGAGGTGCGGGGTTATTTTACCGTTCCGGTACAACTTAGGCGAGCCGGATTTTGCACTGAGCTGGACCAGGTCAGCTAATTAACAAAACATCTCAAAATGTAAATAATAAATGTCAAAAATAAATAGGATCAAATACACACTACATTATTTGGATTATGCCATGTAAAATATGACACGTACTAAAATGCACTCAAATGTGTTATAGTGTATATAATGTGTAAAATCTGTATAAGTGTGTTACATTTTAGAGACGGGGGAGGAGTGATGGGGATGGAGGGGAGGGGTGTTAGGGGGAAGGCAATGGGGGGGAGAGGGGTGGTGGGTGATGGGGGAGGGGATGGGCTGAAGATTTTGATGAGGAGTAATATATATGTAAAACCATTGTAATCATTCTAAGCATTATCACGGTATAGACTAACCTGCACGGGCATCCACGAAACCATCCTTCTGGATAAAAGAAGAAAAAATTTAATGTAGTACCACAATTAAAAATTAAGAACCGTACCTTTTTCAGTATTGTTTACGTTTAGTATATGAATGTAAAATGAATTATAAAAAATATGTTAAACGTGAGCAGTACACCATAAACATGTTTTTTTATAGATATATATTTTAATATATAAAGTTAATTCAATGCTAACGAAGGTTACTACTTGTTAATTCAAATTTAAAAAAGAAAAAAAGCATCAAATAACGATTCTGAACAAAGCTTTTAAGGGACACATACGTGATTTCTCAAGTGCTCAGCAAACTGGGTCAAGAGTCTTAACTCTCCGTTGTTTTCCAGTTTTCTACAATAAAGTAACAGAGCTCTCCAACGTGCCGAGGAGCTGAAGGATCTCCCAGCCCGTGGAACGTATCGTTGGACATTGTGTCGAACGGAACGTGGTAACAGCCAGGAAAGACGCGTCGGAGAGCCGCACGGCACAGCCGCAAAAACCCACGCGGTAGCATTACCATGTGGTTGTCGTGGAGGCGATATTGCAACAGCGCTTGTGCGAGAACGTTCGAAGCCTTCAGGGCCACGCTTGCTTCTTCTTCCCCACAGATCTTGAAGTTCACCTGCAGGGCGACACGCACGGGACAGAGAAGATACGATCCTTGAGTTTAAGCGCCAATTCCAAATCGTGAACAGACATTTGCCACGATTTAAAATGTGAGTAGATGAATAAACCACTTACGAGCGAGTTCAAAACATCCAGGTTGGTAATCCTCCTCCTAGGTGATGGCCGGAATTCATGCTGCAATCACAAAAGCCGTTGCAATTTTTCCATAATTTTATCCTGTGCTGTCCGCGTCATGTCACGAGACAAAATTACAATACGTTTCAATCTTTCGCAGAGCAGTGCAATTGTCTGTGTTAAGAGAACAGCCCACGGAAGTGGATATCACAGAGCTCCTGCTGAGATCAGCTGGCCTGGGAATGCCTGATAATTCCTCAGGAAGAGTTAGTCTGTCGCCAGGGAAAGGGGAGGTCTGGACCGCCCTACACAACACGCTGCCGCCGCGACCATCACCAGGACAAGTGGATTGAGATGTGAACGAACGAAGAGAACGGCCCATGGAAGAGGCCATCACAGGGCACCTGGTGAGACCCCCATAACGTTATGCAACATTATAAAGCAATGCTGGTCAGAATTCAGTGAAAAATTTAGAAAACACGAATAATGTCCGTTGTAATGTTTTTGATCAAGTTTGACTCGCCGGTTGACGTCGATGCATTTTCTATGCATTTAGAGGGTACAGGATATTAGGGGAGAACCCCCATTCGCACCCCCCCCCCCTGGCAATGTGTTGTAGCACGCCCTTACCACCTTTCCCCTATATATTTTTTTCTAATGTATTTCTGAAATGATGTACGCAGCCCCGGCATGCCGGCTGCTTTGACTCACTTGAGTGTGAGTGTGTGAATAAACGATTTATTTACACGTGGAGTGGCTGGTGTGGTGCATTATGGACCGGGTAACCAGAGTTCGATTCCCAGTCACCCCGAACAGAGAGTGGCGAACGATAACTTAAACCTGTCCTGTCTGCCCCCTTCGCACACCCACAGTAACCAGCAGAGTGAGGTATGGTCAAACAATTCCCACCACTCACATGGCAAGGGGAGGCCTGCCTTCATCCAGGAGTGGATTGGCAAAGATCTGTAAATTCGTTTTATTGTTGCACTACAAAACAAAAGGAATATAACCTAATATTGTGAAATTACAATTTAGATCAAATTCGCCTATTAAAATAATCTATATTTCACTAAATTGTGTATGTATCGAACCAAGGTGTACATGAGACAGAGAATCAGAGAAACCATTTACGGCACATACCCAGTCGTAGTTGTTTCTGTCAGAATAATACATATCCGGGTCCTGTCTGTACTTTGTCCTGTGACACCACAAAGGAAGAAAAAAGTGTTTGAATAACCATAAGGATTTTAAATTTCGATTTAAAGCTTTCGTGACTGCAGGGATTCATATTCTTGGTTCTTTCGGTAAAGTCACGTAGAAGGGAAATAATAAAATAATTAAAATAAAACAAAATTCTCACGACGTTTCGATTACAACACAAGCAATCATCATCAGGTGTGAAAACCACAGCAAGAAAATTGTATTGTTTTATTTTTATTATTTTATTATTCCCCTTCTACGTGACTTTACCAAAAGAACCAAGAATATAACCATAAGGATGTACATTTATCAGGTGCTTTTAAATGCCCCAGCAACTCAAAGCACCGTACATCTCATCTAAACCATTGCAGTGCCCTGCTGCAGCCTATCCAAGGGAACCCCAGTGGTAGCTATGTCTGCGTGCGGCACAAGGTGAACACATACAGCGCTGGTCCGCCAGGAGGGGACATGTTTACATACAATTGTATGAAAACCTACACCACTAATGTTATGGCCACACCAAGCAAATACTATGTTTTTTAAAGCCAACAATAATGACTACTTCATAAACGTTTTCAAATGAAGGCATCTCAAGGTGCCATACAATGCAATAGTATTAACAGAAAAACAGCAGCAGAGGGCAGTGCAGAAAAATCCCAACCTACATTGGCCAACTTGGTGAAATACGGTCAAATAACCCACTTGACCGACACGGTGTGGGGGAGGGGAAAGCCCTCATCCATCAGTGGACTGACAAAGGTGCCGTGCACGTACGTATACGTGCACACACAGTGTACGTGCGCTGCGAGCCGTACCAGGAGTTGGCATGTGAGTGAGGCCCGGGCGGGTGACCTCTGCTGTACGGCCGCCCTCCGAGCATTCCGCGGCCCGCGAACCCAGCGCGTTCTGCAGGCCCTCCCCCGCGGCCTGCGAACGCTCCGAATCCTCGTCCACGCATCCCTCGCCCAGGCGGCCCCCCGGGCCCCCCGAAACCACCGCGTGGCATCCCTCCTCCAGAACAGAGACAAAGATCCCCCGTGTAGCCTTTAACAGACTGTCGGGGCAAGTGCCGTTAGCGAGCACCTATGAAGGCCGGCACTGCACACGAGGGGGTGGGTTGGCCAGCACCACGCCCGGCCGCCTTTGTTCCCTCAGTGGCGATGTTTACACACTGCACTAGGTACTCATTTGAGGTCGAATCGACCTAGGGGAGGCCCAGGACCAGTTCAAATAATTGTCACTGGTGTTGGACGTCAGCCGGAATCGAACTCGGGTTGCAAGGTTTGTAGCACAATGCGTTAACCACTACACTACCGCTCCTCCACAACACACACACATGCATAGCAACGGTGATAATACAGGAAGCGATGATGATGAAAGTAACAATGACGGTGAGACTGGAGGTGATGGTAGTGATGGTAGGGACAATGATGGTGGTGTGGGTGGATCACTGAGTGTGTGAGTGGTTGAGTAGACAGCTGAGTGTGAGAGTGGGTGGATAACGAAGCATCTGAATGGGTGGATATGATGCAGACCACTGCTCGGAGATATCGGTGAAGGAAACAGCCATGCCTCAATGGCCCAAAAGGCCAAGGCCAGAGAGGAAGACGCGAGGTCTCTGTTTTGAACTGAGTCAAAAATCAGATGTTGTTCTTACTTCCCATCGTTCCAGGGAATGACCAGTTGTTGAGACCCTGGCCACACTGGGCCACTTTATGCTTCAGGGTCTCCTTCACTGTTAGCGCAAAAACATCATACAGGTGGTCACAGGTAACGACACAAGGCAACCAGGGCATACAGAGAATTGGATTGTTGCGAAATGGCGATCCTGTACGATAGGGGCGGTGGCATGGCCTAGCGGTGGCGCATTCGTCGTTTGTTGCAGAGGTGCACAGTTATAAATCTAGCAGCCACTCTTGATTAACACTGCTGGTGTATTCATCGTAAAAACACAGTGGACGTTAAAGATCCCGTGGCGTCATTTGTACGAGTAGACCAAATTACCCGCAAATGACTCAATTGGGCTGAAACGTAGTAGAACATAAGTGTGCGTTAATGCGGCCTGCCAAATTGTTTTTGAAAACCCTATTTGGCCCTCGGTGAGGAAAAGATTCCACCCACCCCTGGAAGAGGCCAATACATAGGTTGTGTGTGAGACATTCCTCTTAATGTCGTGACCTTTCTTAATGTGACAACAAACATGGTGGCGTATTAGCGTCAAACTGAGCGCGGCTCATTTATGAAACAAAGTGAAAGGATAAAGCGTGACTGTCCTTTTACGAATGCTGGAACTGATATATGGCGAAGTGGCTTTTCTGTAGCGTAACATCGTTTACCTTCTGTTGATCTCTTTGTGGCTTTAGTGCTGTCTACATTGGGGAAGCAAACAGGCGGCTTGAATGAGTCGCCCTTTTCAATTTTCAACTGAGCAACGCAGCACAATGCCAAACAAGAGCACGTATCACCAGGTCAGAACGCGCGCGCGCACACACACAGGCATGTGCATTACATCGTAATTTAACACAACAGTGCACGACAATATGGAATGATAACCGTAAAGGAATACACATTACGGTTCAAATTATTAAATTGCATTTTTTCGTTGGAGAACAGTCCATGGAAACGGATATAACAGAGCTGCATGCGGGAACCCTTCAAGTGCCATACGGTCTACAAAGTAGGTGGGGTAGTGCTGTATGACAGTCAATCCTATATTTTTATTCTTAGAGCTGTAATTTAGCAAAATGAAGTGCAGAACCAACTTTAATGTAACACAGTCGATCACTGATTATCCGGTGCGGGATTATCCGGCTTCCAACATTATCCAGCAGTCCTGGGCCGATCCGGTGAAAACGGGCAAAACTGCTTCAAAGGCTGCATCAATCCGGCGATCATCAAAAACATTGTTGTTGAAACAAGAGTGTAGTATGTACATCACCCCATGCAGTCTTTGAGATTGTAGTGGTAAGTACGGTACAGTAAATACAGTACCTTTTTACAGGATTTTTTTTCTATTTGTATGTTTATGTATACCAACTTCACATAGTAAACAAATGTAAAACACTAAAAAAACATATACATTACACCTAAAAACATGTTATACAAGAATGTGCCAAAATAATATATTTTTAATAATTATGTGATTATCCACCGTTTTTGAAAATCCCGTGCCCCCTTCCCCCTCCCGGAAGCTACCGGATAATCGATGATCTATGGTAGTTTGTTCCGTGCAGTCATTGGAGACCAGACGGAGGCCATGCACTCGCTGCACTTTGAGAACCTCGTGTAATCACAGGTGGCTGCCAGGATTCAAATCCAGGATCTCAGCGGTTCCGACTCAGCACTTTAAGCTCTGAGCCACCTGCCCCCCCTCCTAATACGCATTGCATTTAAGCACACTATTGTGAGAATGTTTACTTTGAATGTCTTGGGCCCCTCAGCTTTTAGGATCCGCTCAGCTTCTTTCCGCACCACATCTGCTCTCTCCGTCTTTGACATTTCCGCTTGAACGGAAACGTCATTGTCCGGATGATAGGTTCGCTGCGAAAATAACGATACACGTACTGGAATGACAAAATAAGTCATTGGTATGAATGTATGTTGAACTTCTTTCGCACCGTACGTAGTCAACCGTGTCAATCGAGGGTGCGGCATGTCAAGCAAGCATGGGAACAACCAGGGATCAAGGACGAATTCAGATGTGTCTGTAACCAGATACAGCAGTGATTTATTTTCCCGCTTCACAAACCCACACTGAACCAGCATGGGTGAAGTATGGTCAAAAATAATTATATTCATATTATTGTCATTATTACGCTGCACGTGTCAGTCGTACTGGATGAAGTTTGATGGGGGACCTGGGGATGTTATAGGTTATAGGGGCCACACAGTTTTGGGAGTTGTTTGACCATACTTCACCATGTTGGTCAGCATGGGTTGGTGAATGGGGTGGCTGGAGAACGGCAGTGTCACGGTTAGCGTACAGTAATATGAGCTCAATTCCTGCCAACATCATCGATGGCCATCCGTACCGGTCCTGACTCAGCCTCAACTGGTGCTCATTTGAGGCTGAGTCGGCCTAGGGGAAGTCCAGGACTGGGAAGACAAAGGTGGCTGGGCATGGTGCTGGGCGCACCACCAATTCATGCGCCGTACCTGCCTTCACAGGTACTCACCAACAGCAATTGCCCCAAGCGTCTTGATGGCTACTCTGTGGATCATTGTCTTTGAGAGAAGGGTAGATTGTTCAGATATCACCCACCACTGATGATTCCACAAATAAACCTGAAATTGATGTTAGTCGTGGCCAGGAATTGAACGCAGGTGGCCAGGATCATAGCGCAGCGCGCTAACCACTGTACCACTAGCAGCCCAAATTACATCTTACGAGCTAACGTTGAAGCATAAATACAACGAACATTTGAAAGGTACTCACGATATACTTCATTCTGTGCTTGACGCTGATAAGGTGAACAATGATGTTGAACATGGTTGAAGAGACATTGCAAAGTTCGCATGAAAAGTAGGACTGAGAGGGGCAGTTGCCGTTACGATGTTCCATGATTAACTCCAAGCCTGCACACACAAACACACAAACCAGTGCCAAAGTTTCTCATGGTTACATGCACTGCCAGAGACAATTTGCCAGCAATTATTTCCACAAATCTCCATTGCAAAAGCATGGCATTTGGGAGTTGGCTTACCTAAGTAAGGCTCCGATTTGTCCTGGGCATCTAGGTGATCTTGAAAACCTTAAGAGCAAGACGAGTGTTATTAGGAGGCAAGCATAATGAGAGGTCACTGCAGGGATTGTAGCATTAAACAGAGGGACGTGTACCTATTTGCTAAGTAATTTATAAAGAGCTGAAAAATATCTGCAGTAATTTTGGTTCGATCCTGTTTGACATTTTAATAGCGATCCATTCTTTGTAGTAAATGCGTATCGCTGCCACGAAGGTTTTTTGCAGTTTTGCTGCACAGTTAGTTATCCGATGTGTTTATTTTTTTTCGGGGTTGTAGCGCATGTTGTGTTTGGCACGATGTCCGATGTTTCACTCCATGTGCTGGGAGCTTCTGAAGATGCATTGAAGAAGTGGATATTGTTATAACGTTTCCTGAAGGCAGCCAGTCGGCCAAAATATTCTAACAGTGAAAATACGCGATAATTGTCGTTTACGAACCTGTTATTTATGATATTTTATGTTATTCTTCAAAAACGCAACCCATACAGTAGTTAATTTTAGCATAAATTAAGGTGCCACTTGTTTCCATCAGTTACCTTTAATTAAATACACGCGCAAATTAATGTTTTGTTATTCTGATGAGGAAATTACAATTGGAATTTCCGAAATGAATAATAATTCCATCCGTGTAAGGATATACACAATACTTCTACAGCAGCTACAAATGTGATCTAATCACTTTGGCTCAAGATATACAATATATACTTCTACGGCAGCTAAAAATGTCATCTAAATCACTTTGGCTCAAGATATACAATCTATATTTATACTGCATTCCCACAGGTTTTTGCGCAGCCATTCCAGGTCAGTCCTGCAACAGCCAATCAGAGCTTGGGTTCTGTCTAGATGTTGACTTTGTAGACTCCACACTCCACCCTCCACCCCTAGGTCTGATGATTTGGCGAGCTTACGGTGGTATCCCACCTGATGACGGACGCTTGTGTTGCGCCCGAAACGTCGCGATCTATTTTATTTTATACCTGCGTGACTTTACCGAAAGAACCAAAGAGTATGGATTCCTGCAGTCACGAAAGCTTCAAATCAAGACTAATATTTATTATTTGGATATTTTTTCTGCCATTTCTTTGCTTACAAAAAACAGACCTCTGATATTGACCTTTAAATTGAGAGATGCTATTGACCCCGTGATGTCACGACTGTGTTTGAAGGTGGTCAAGTTGAAGGCGAGTGTATAGCAGCACCCTTGAGCTAAATAAGCCCAGAGTATCATGGTGATGCTGGTGTCATGGTTAGCACAATGGACTCGTGGTTATAGCTCGTTCGATCTCCCGGTGTGGCAGATTAATCGATGGAGCAGGTTTCTTATATCCCCCCCGCCTGCAGTATACATGGGTACAACCACAGCAGTTAGGCTGCAAGCCGTCTGGCCTGCGTACAAGAGGAGGCCAAATACCCTTGTTAAGAGAGGTTCCCTAAAGCTCAGTCTAGTAGAGGGCCCTTCCGCCAGCTATAGTTTGTAAAATAAATTGCAGGGCTTTGCCTTTGTATGTATGATTTAATTTCTTCCGCACCGTATCTTTATCACCTTTTAATCACGACAGGCTCGCAAGCTACCTACCATGGGAATCTGGGCTCGGACCACGTTTACAGTTCACTCACTGGCCAAGTTGGGCTACAAAGTGTGCACGGAAAGGTAAGAAATGAGGCATCAAAGGTAAACAAAGACCTTCTTACCTTTCCCTTCCAGCTTCACTATTTTTGGTGAGTGACCATTTTCATCCACAACTTTTGCGGTCATTTTATTTATGTTTACCTGAGTCAAAAAATAACATGTTTAAAGTTCACATAGAGAAATTCAACAATGTACTGATGAGCAAAACATTTAGAAAAAAACAAGCATTTCATAACAACAAAAATAGATACTCTGGGCCAAATGCATCACCGAACCGATACTTGGTCTCAGAAGTGACATACAGCGCAACATCTAGTTTTATTTTGCCACGCATGCAAGTGCTGTCAGACTGCTGTTGCTGTGGGAAGGTGATATACAAATAGGCATTACAGCAAACACAGACAGAAAAGGCCAAGAAAACACCAAGTTGGCATCGTTATAATTTAACACTTGAGTCATTCCATGCCAAATCACCCAGATATCAGGAACCATCCAGTATCACAATCTCCATTTTTTTCCCTTTGGTTCTCAGCTTTAGTACTTTGAAACTAGGTCATAGACAATATTTCAGTTCTATCGGCCAATTATTTCAGCCAGAATGAACATTTACACATGAAGCGAGTTAATCATCTACATTTAAAAATATATATTTTGGGTGCATTTTCACAATGGAATATTGCAAAACGAATTAAGCCATGTTCCGGATATTTTTGTAAGTTATTTACCAAAATCTAAAAGTTGTATACTTTTTAGAAAATTGCCTTTGCAGAAGACTATCGTAATGTGTGCAGAAAAATTACCTCAAAATAATATTTCGTACCTTTGTGAGTGAATACATTTTTTCCTGTCCAGGTAATCACAGTAATTCACTTGAAATGTGTTTTCTAACAGTGTATTAACAGCTATTTACCATCTTCTTGGTTCTTTCGGTAAAGTCACGTAGAAGGGAAGTAATAAAATAATACAAAAAATATATAATAAAATAATTCTCACGACGTTTCGGCGGCCACAAACGTCGTGAAAATTATTTTATTATGTTTTATTTTTATTATTTTATTACTTCCCTTCTACGTGACTTTACCGAAAGAACCAAGATGAATCCCTGCAGTCACGAAAGCTTTAAATCGAGCTATTTACCAGTACAAAACAATAAGAAGCAAACAGTCAAATTGGCAGATGACATGGCACTCCATTCGTACACATTGCAATGGAGGTTTCAAGACAACACAAACTGCTCACATGGCTCTGATTTGTGTGGTGCATTTAGGTTTTTTTTTATTATTATTATCAAATTTTGCAAATAAAAAGTCTTCCTATCATATGAATCAGGTCCTGCAAACACGGTTGTGTTGATGTATTAATCCACAAACTGTCACCACGTCTGTTTACATAATCGTAAAGAAAACTTTTTTTATTTTACCAGCTAAGGCCCACTGAGCTATACAGCTCTTTTTCAGAAGTGACCTGGCCACAAATGATCGCTCAACAAAGTGGCTTATCATGTGGAAATTTCTCGCAGCCAAATCATCTAAACACATCTTGATTCTGAATGTGGAGGGAAAAAAACGGAGGATCCGGAGAAAAACCCACACAACCATGGGGAGAACATGCAAACTCCAAATATACAGCAGCTCAGGGTCGGGATCGAACCCATGACCTCCTGCATACCAGGTGAGGGAGTTAACATCTCACCGCTGCGGTGACCCATCGTAGGTACCACATACCTGCTCAAGTGACCAACCCTCAGTCTCCATCACCTCCTTAGCTATCGGCATGAGTTTCTTTATGTTTTCAGCCGTCTTGACGCTGTCAACCTCGGCAGTGGCCAGCTTGGTTGGGTAGAAAGTATTCTTGGGGAAAATGGGTAAAAGAACAAAAAGTTAACTTAGGAAAAGATAGCTGTGATAATTATAGGGCACAAAGTGATGACATATTTAAACCTTTACCAGTTGCATGTAAATCACATAAACAAAAGTATATATGACATGGCAATTTTTTGTTTAACTACACGCAGATCTCGCTTTGCGTGACCCCATAGAATGCCGATTCGTGACAGCGCTCTTTGTCCTGGAGAATTTATTTTAACAAAACAAATGAGAAAATACTATAAAAAAATTACAAAGTGCTTACAAGTGAGAACACGCAACAGCGCTGTCCGAGAAAATGTAGCCTCCTCCATGATTCGGTCATGTATGTTGAACTTATTTCACACCGTACGTAGCCAACCGTGCTAATCGGAGTTGCGGGAGAGAGCGACGTTTGCTCTCAGCTAACCACAACCCATCCCCCGCGATTTTTGATTATCACAATTTGTAGTCACGATTACATTTAAAAAACAATCGATTTGTTTAGCCAGGTGAGAACTCACGAGACCAGGCTAGAGTCTCAGGCTCCACCTAAAAGAAACCCCACCTGAGAATTTTACACTGACGGCACCACTAAGATTAAGGTCCTGGAGTTCTTCCCTGAGAGTGACCCCAGATTGGGAGCACTCATGAGTACAGTACATAATACTTACCGATGTTATTAAACCTTCTTGGTTCTTTCGGTAAAGTCACGTAGAAGGAAAGTAATAAAATAATAAAAATAAAACATAATAAAATAATTCTCACGACGTTTCGGCCACAACGCAAGCAGCCGTCCTCAAGTGAAGACCAGGTCTGTCGGGGAGACAGCGTCGCTGAGGACGGCTGCTTGCGTTGTGGCCGAAACGTCGTGAGAATTATTTTATTGTGTTTTATTTTTATTATTTTATTATTTCCCTTCTACGTGACTTTACCGAAAGAACCAAGAAGATGAATCCCTGCAGTCACGAAAGCTTTAAATCGATGTTATTAAAATAAATGATCATTTTTATTTATTAAATATTATAATCAGCGCTATTACCGATACCCCAATGAAGCCCTCATATATTGCTCATAGGAAAGAATTAACGCTGTAGGGAACGCATCCCCATATATAGTGGTATGATCCCTTTTAGCGCCGATACCATGAGCGATCACTTCTCCAGGAACACATTTTGAGTGCTAAGCGAGGTCTGCCTTTATACAACTGTACACTGAACAATGTAAACGGCCACCTGATGTGATTCATGAAGTCGCAATCTGTGAACATTATAAATGTGTTCAGTGCAGATTAACGTCGTTTGTCCAATCTGTATGGGATTGAGTGTTACCCCCTCGCATGCATGGCCTTTACCCCGGGAGCTCCAATTTCCTCCCACATGTATATACACTCGTGGCTTTCAAGAGCAATATTATCCAGCATATGTTTCAACAAGCCAACACTGGATCGGTTTTGACTTTCTGTGTCTCATAAGCAGTCAAGGCTAGTTAAATAAATGCCGCTGGGCTGCTCGATGTTATTGGCAAGATCACCCCGTCTAAATTATATAATGCCCTCTAATAACACGCGAGTTTGTACACCGGGAGATTAGGTTTGTGGAACACACCAGGTATTTGTAGATGTGCTTGAACCCACGGATATGGTCCACAGTTGGCTTCATGAGCATGTAACCTTCCGGACAGCACAAGCCGCACACGTAATGCGGCTGCTTGAAAGCTCCGTCCCCACTTTGGTGTTCGGTGAGAAAACTCAGGCCTACTCGCACACAAACAACAAAGAGAGCCCCATGTAGCCTCAATAGACTGTTGGAGCAAGTTCTGTTCGGGAGCACATATGACGACCAGAATGGCACATGAGGGGTCGGGGTGAATCAATCCATGAGACGACCACTACTGACTTCCCCACGAAGTGCTACTCTTATTATCGGCCCCTGAGGGATGATGAGCTGAACCAACCCCCCCAATCAGGAATTGAAGCCGCAATGTTTCGATTGCGAACCGCAAACTCTACCACTGAGCAGCCTGGAGAATTACACAGAAGAGGAAATGTGCTCCCGTATTTGCATTGTGCTAGGACTATGTATGAGACCGTGCTTTCAGCAAAGCTATACGCACCCAATATGGGCATATCCGCTGCCAAATTCTCCAAAAGGGCTCCGATCAGTGGCCCTTGCGCTGTAAATACACAAACATACACAATTACACGAAATACCACGGCACCATAACAACAGTAAAATAGATAATTTCCTTCATATGCCGCGAATCACATTTGGTGTGCACCAATACAGTTTTAGAAACATGAACTAGATCAGGAGACCATTGATCGGATGCATGGCTTGTTCTAGGCTCGGTTAATGGGTTTGGAGTTCTGCTGTGAACGTTATCTGAGAGCAGGTGCTCTGCTTGGCAGACTCACCTTTATCATTAAGGCATTCCTCTGTCTGCAGCAAACCACGGGCATGGTTTCAAACAAATCCAGACACAAACAAGAGAGGAGACAAGGCATTACTCAAACGCTGAGAACATCTATTAGTGCCAAATACTATATGTGCGGTTGTATGTGCGAGTACTTAACAGACATGCAATGGATAAAACACTTATGCTGTGTGTACAGGGCTGTCCAACAGCAGTGTGAAGCTTTGGTTTTCAACGTAACATTATTTTAAAATCCAGGTCAGGTGCTGCATCATATCGCCAAAATTATGTCACTGTAATGGTCGCATTAAACTGTACTCGAGTGATGTCCACAATGCCACGAGAATGCGGCGATGATGTTACCAGTGGGATGATGAGTGAAAGTGATGGACAGCCATGGCATACACAGTATGTAAGCATCAACAAAAGATCAGATATAATTTTTTATCAAGAATGTCCAACTGAACCTTAAGACCCTTTCGGTCTTACGTTTCAGCGAGGTACTGTTTGGCAAGTGGATGCAACCCATCTCTGTAAAGCTTTTGAGTATTTTGCCCTCGTATGCCTGGATATAGTCTCCAGGCACTCCAGTTCCCTACTACAACTCAAAACATTCATGAGCAACACTGGTCAAACATTCCAATCAAGAACGCTCCTGAAATAATATCGAGACTCAGTGAGTTTCCTCTGTAAATTATTATATTGCCACCCACGCATCCCAAAACGCCCTCTTCTGCCACAGATGACAAGCCATAGGCCAGATTTTAATTAAAAAAATTCCATTCACAACTGCCATTCTGGTATTCAGTTCCCCTACCGAGCAGTCGATGTCTGTGACTGCAGTATCTCCGTCCATGTCGCTCATCTCCACGGCCTCAGAGGCATCGCCAATCCCTGACTCAGCCTTCACCCCCTCCTCCTGCACTGCAGCAACAGCAGCAGCAGCAGACGACTCGTCCATGCCCTCATAGGCAATGTCGTCCTCCTCCTCCTCGTCCTCTTCGTAGTCAGGGGGCCACAGGTCTTCTCCGCTCTCCCCGAAGGGGTCATCCGTGGTGAAGTTGACCCCACCCAGCGCTTGTGTATTGTAGTCGCTCGTGTCCATGTCATCCGACATGGTTGCAGCGCTACGGACACAAAGGAAGGTGGATCACGCAGAGATCATCAACAGTATTAGGCATGGACATATATACCCTATGGCCAAATTTCTCACAATTTGCCCGATTTCGTCAAGATCTCGAAAGCTAAGCAGGTTTGAGTCATTGGATCAGTGACCAAGATCAAGATGTCATCGTCACCATATCTGTTGATGCCACGACAACTACAAATGGGTTGGTGACCTCTGCCAGAGCCCTCAACTGGCGTACGGATTCAACAGGTATGTACACTGAACTCTGTTCGCACCGTACGTAGCCAACCGCGCTAATCGGAGGTGCTGCGAAGCTATGCTGTGATCAGCACAGGCTAGTATACAAGCAGTACAATACATAATTGCACCCAAATACGTCTCAACGTCTATTCCACACATTCATACGACTGAAACAACTTGGTCCAGTGGGCAAAGCAATGCACGACCCTCGTGACAAAAAGTCTCAGAACTCAGCGAGACCTTTTTCTAACGCTCTCCAACTAAATGCAATAGCGTTTCTCTCTGCATTGGCTCTGCCAACGTCTGTCTGTGATGGGCAAGAGAAGTATGAATGGAACTTCAGTCGATGGCTGTGTTGCTTCGAGGGACTTAACGCTGTACAAGAGGCCAAACTGTTCAAGGAGTTTCCCGAACCGGAGCCGCTATCCGAGGCCCCCGTGGGGGTCTCACCGTGGCCTAGGAGGCCCTCCACCGACACCACATCACAAATCCAACACTTGGTGTGAGGCCAAAGGCGCGCGTTGGGGAAAACAAAAACACGTTGCAGGGAAGCCATGCGTCGGAATGGTTTTTCTTCATCCCTCCCCGTTTCGAACCGACCAATTGAATCGCGCTCTCTTCGTTCATTCACGCCGTTCAGAAACGTTGACCGCATTTTTGTTTATTTTTTTCAAATAAAAAAAAACTGCAAAGCGTTCAACGCCTGGAAGGTGTTGCAACGCGCAATTCGAATCGCAATTGGTGAAACAAATGAGAACACGAAGAAGACGACGTAGAGCGTTGAGAGAGACACAACGCCGAGGCTTCATGGGCATCGTCCAAACAAACTACGACAGCACTTCAAGAAAAGTGTGGCTCGAACAGGGGGGGGGGAGGGCATTGAAGGGCGATCGATCAATCGATCGATCAATGGATAATAATATTAATAAACGTAGCGACGAATCGACGCAATTGTAACGAGTTCGTTGTTGCGGCCACACTTAGGAGGCGATGTTAATTAAACACCCCGGGGTGCAGGCAGCTAAATCCCTCAATGCTGTGGCCTGACGATATAACAACGACGGCCACACAACAGAGACGACACAGATTTCGCATTCATCTCGTCGACCCCAGGTGACGATTGTCGCATGGAGGGCAGCTGGGACGACGGTGGTGGCGTTTCTGTGATCGCCCATCGGTCGAAATCCAGCGGCTCGTCTCGAGTGGCCCTGGACATGTCTGTGATTAGAATGCAACTCAACAACAGCCGCGAAATGAAGCTTTAATCCGATGTCTGAACGCACGACCATTGTGGTTTGCAGGCGGGCAGGTCTCCCAATGTGACTTCAAAACCAAGCCCCGTGGCACAACCACAACAACAACCACCACCATAACAACAACAACCACAACAACCACCACCACCACAACCTTCAATGTCAGCCGCGGCTGAGCACCACAAAGCACGCACGGCTCACGAGGCTGCTTCGCTTCACTGCGACATCAGCAGCAGCAAATACTCACATAAAGCTCGACTCCTGGGACAAGGTGACCCCCCCACACACACACAGCACACCACACACACCACACACAACCATACACACACCACACACGCACCACACACTACACACCACACACTACACACCCCACACACACACTCCACACACAACCACACACACACCACACACCAGAACACACCACACACATCACACACACCACAACACACCACACACACCCCACACACACCACACATACCACACACACCACACACACCACACACACACCACACACACCACACACACACACCACACACACACCACACACACACACACCACACACACACAACCATACACACACCACACTCACACCACACACACACCACACACACCACACACACACCACACTCACACACACCACACACACACCACACTCACACCACACACACACCACACTCACACCACACACACACCACACACACACACACACCACACACACTCACACACACCACACACACCACACACACCACACACACACCACACACACACCACACACACACCACACACACACCACACACACACCACACACACACCACACACACACACCACACACACACCACACTCACACCACACACACACCACACACACACCACACACACACACCACACACACACAACCATACACACACCACACTCACACCACACTCACACCACACACACCACACTCACACACACCACACACACAACCACACTCACACCACACACACACCACACTCACACCACACACACACCACACACACCACACACACACCACACTCACACACACCACACACACCACACACACCACACACACCACACACACCACACACACACCACACACACACCACACACACACCACACACACACCACACACACACACCACACACACAACCATACACACACACCACACTCACACCACACACACACCACACACACCACACACACAACCACACACACACCACACTCACACCACACACACCACACACACACCACACTCACACACACCACACACACACCACACACACACCACACTCACACCACACACACACCACACACACCACACTCACACACACCACACACACCACACACACACACACCACACACACACACACACCACACACACCACACACACACCACACACACACCACACACACACCACACACACACCACACACACACCACACACACAACCATACACACACCACACACCACACACACACCACACACACACCACACACACAACCACACACACCACACACACACACCACACACACCACACACACACACCACACACACCACACACACACCACACACACCACACACACACCACACACACCACACACACACCACACACACCACACACACACCACACACACCACACACAGCACACACACCACACACACACACCACACACACACCACACACACCACACACACCACACACACACCACACACCACACACACCACACACACACACACACCACACACACACCACACCACCCACACAAACCACACACAACCATACACACACCACACACACACCACACACCACACACACACACCACACACACCACACACACCACACACCACACCACCCACACAAACCACACACACAACAAACAACGACGACGGGTTACGACCCACCTGAATGAAACGTGCCGTGATGTGTGTGATGTGTATATAGTTGTTGTCGTGTGTGTGTATATTTGTGTGTGTATACTTGTTGTGTGTATATTCGTTGTGTGTGTGTATATTTGTGTGTGTATAGTTGTATGTGTGTGTATATTTGTGTGTGTGTGTATATTTGTGTGTGTATATGTGTATATTTGTTGTGTGTGTGTGTATATTTGTGTGTGTATATTTGTGTGTGTATATGTGTATATTTGTTGTGTGTATGTGTGTATACTTGTTGTGTGTATATTTGTGTATGTATATTTGTGTGTGTGTGTATATTTGTGTATGTATATTTGTGTGTGTCTGTACTTGTTGTGTGTGTGTATATTTGTGTGTGTGTGTATATTTGTGTGTGTATATTTGTGTGTGTGTACTTGTTGTGTGTGTGTATATTTGTGTGTGTATATTTGTGTGTGTGTACTTGTTGTGTGTGTGTATATTTGTGTGTGTGTATATTTGTGCGTGTATATTTGTGTATATATATGTGTGTGTACTTGTTGTTGTGTGAATACTGCAGCGGCGGCGGCGGCGGCGTTGGTAGCGAAACCAACCGTAGTAGGTGGTGGAGGCTTCAAGCAGGAGCTGGATTATTGTTGTTGTTGATGATGGTGGTTTAAGCGATGGGCAGGAGGAAGGACGAGAGAGGAAGGACGAAAAAAAGGAAGGACGAGAGAGATGAAGGAGGAGAGAGAGAGAGGAATGAGGAGGAGGTTGAGATTCTACCGATGACGTATTTGGCCATTCGAGAATGACGTCTAAATACTTGCGCCGGATTTGATGTTTTTAGTGAAACATTAAATATATTTATATTACAACTCGACGCTAGGGGGTGCACTTCACTCTCGAGTTCGCTGTGCTGCGGGGTCGACTGCGTTCGTGAATCATTTATCGATTCCCTCCTCATCCTCTGCCAATCCATCGAGGGAATGAGTTGGCCTCGGTGGCTCCTCCCACACAACTCATTCCCTCCCACACAACTCATTCCCTCCGACACAACTCATTCCCTGAGACACAACTCATTCCCTCCCACACAACTCATTCCCTCCCACACAACTCATTCCCTCCGACACAACTCATTCCCTCGGGGGCTCCCGTGATAATTCATTCCCTCCGACACAACTCATTCCCTCCGACACAACTCATTCCCTCCGACATAACTCATTCCCTCGGGGGCTCCCGTGATAACTCATTCCCTCCGACACAACTCATTCCCTCGGGGGCTCCCGTGATAACTCATTCCCTCCGACACAACTCATTCCCTCGGGAGCTCCCGTGACAACTGATTCCCTCCTACACAACTCATTCCCTCGGGGGCTCCCGTGATAACTCATTCCCTCCGACATAACTCATTCCCTCGGGAGCTCCCGTGACAACTCATTCCCTCCGACACAACTCATTCCCTCGGGGGCTCCCGTGACAACTGATTCCCTCCGACATAACTCATTCCCTCGGGAGCTCCCGTGATAACTCATTCCCTCCTACACAACTCATTCCCTCGGGGGCTCCCGTGATAACTCATTCCCTCCGACATAACTCATTCCCTCGGGAGCTCCCGTGACAACTCATTCCCTCCGACACAACTCATTCCCTCGGGGGCTCCCGTGATAACTCATTCCCTCCGACATAACTCATTTCCTCCCCTAACAACTCATTCCCTCCGACACAACTCATTCCCTCGGGGGCTCCCGTGATAATTCATTCCCTCCGACATAACTCATTCCCTCGGGGTTTCCCGTGGTAACTCATTCCCTCGTGCTTTGTCGTCGTTGTGAAGTTCTGATTGTTCATCACAATTCCCAGAGTCGTGACAATCGATCTGTATTATTGGGGGTGCGGGAGGGGGGAATGAATAATGTACAGACTACTAGTAGTGTACCACGTACAAGGGCGACGTTCGTATCGAGTCGTTCGTGTCAAATTAAACCACAAGTGGGTTTTGACTTGACTGAGATGACCGGCAGATGAACACCGTCTGTGCCACCCCAGGGCATAGATGTCAACCCATACGGTTTTACTCCGTGTTCTAGTACAGGGAGAATTGAGTGTTCAGATCCACACAGATGTTTTCATTCTGGCCAAAACAAATTGTCTTTGTTTGTGTTTCTCCCCTTGTGATGGGACGTTGTAGGATGCATCAGAAAGGGTTTTATTCGCCATGAAAGTTCGCACAGACAAGGAATTTACTTTGGCAGGAAGGTGCATACATTCAACATATAGGAATCTTACATCTTAAATAAGTGGTGGACAAGTCTAACTATACTAAAGGTACAAAGTCTAACTAATACCAAGGGGCTAAAGTATGTGAAAATTTTGAATAAAATAAAATATAAAAGAACTATAATATACAATATAAAAATACAAAAACAAATAGGGTACATCTTCTTGGTTCTTTCGGTAAAGTCACGTAGAAGAGAAATAATAAAATAAAATAAAATATTACATAATAACATACAATTGTGAGAAAAAATAAAACATAATAAAATACAATTGTGAGAATTGTATTGTATTATGTTTTATTTTTATTATCTTCTTATTTCCCTTCTACGTGACTTTACCGAAAGAACCAAGAAGATGAATCCCTTCAGTCACGAAAGCTTTAAATTGAAACAAATAGGGTAACATAGTGCCAATATGGCAAGGTGTCATTGTGCAGATAAAGTGTTAAAGTCAATGTGAGCCCCTGGCCTTGTTGAAGAGGCCAACAGCGGATGGGAAAAAATTGTTTTTGTGGCGTGAGGTTTTGGTCCTGATGGACCACAACCTTCTGCCGGAGGGGAGTAGCTGGAACAGAGAGTGACCAATAAGGTCTGAATTGTACTTGACTTTACCGAAAGAACCAAAGAGTATGGATCTATGCAGTCACGAAAACTCCAAATCGAAAAGGTCTGAATTGGTCTGTGATAAGGTAGGGCACTGATAAAGGGTTGGCAGGTAATGCAGATGCACCAGCTGTGCGCCATCCTCCTGTGCCAACTTGCTGCGTTTTATCAACCCGGCGCTTCGTTGTTGTGAGCGTCGCTCCTCTGCCCCCCCTCTTGTTACTGGAGGGCGACTGCCTCCAACTTCCCAGTAGAAGCAGCATCCTTCACGAGCCTCCTCCATTGCAATCCATCTGACACCGCTGGTGCCAGTCACTGAACTGCTCCCAGTCTGTGTATTCTCTATTTTATTCAATTACTTGGTAGCTATTTAGATGATTGAGACAGAAGATAGATCTATGAAATCTATTCTCGATAATGAAACACGTTTAAAGGTCAACCACGGCGACAAATACGATGCCCTTTGATTGCGTAGTTAGATCAGTTTGTTAAATCGTTGGTTAAAAAAAAAGCCCAACCACCTTAGGCCAAGAAGGGTGAGAGAGATGTGATACAGATGGGCGACATTGTACTTTCTCTTATTGACTTAAATTACGATGAATTACCTTCTTCTAACACTACCTCGTAAGTGAAGTAACTAGCTTGTAGTTGCTTTGTGATTGAAGCAAATAGGCAAAGTACCACTTCACCCGTCAGCATTACATGGTGGTTGGACATTTACAAACGATTTTACAAAGTGATCTAACTATGCAATCAAAGGGGCAACATTTGCTTGATATTTACATGTGTGTTATTATCGAGAATATCTTTGATCAAATATTTTCTCAATTATCTAAGTTATTCAAAATGTTGGCGAAAATTGAAGATATTGGCAAAGATAAAACAGCAACAAATATTCCATACACATGTACAGTATATACATTCATATATTTTTTTGTAAAAACAATACAACCAATGACCTTAGTTCTTTGCCCTCAGTAATCTATGAGATAAACTTGCTTTACCCTGCTGTTTATTAACTTTTGGGCCCCACGAGGTCACATTTAAGCCCTCGCAAGTTCAGACTGAACAATCTCGTGCCGTAACAATAGTTTCGTACCTTTTGAAATGAAATCGGTAGGATTTAGCTATCACTTGCACCTGCAGTATGTTGGAAAGCGTTATGTCATTTAGTTTTGTGATTACATTTTAAAGTATTTGTAGATGTTAACTACCTCGTCAGGTATACAGGATGTCGATACCAACCCTGACGCCTGCTGTATAAAGAAAGTATTTGGAGTTTGCGTGTCTCTCCGCGGTAGTGTGGATTTTTCTCCGGGTCCTCCGGTTTTCCCCTCCACATGTATAAATATGCGTTTAGATTATTGGGCTGTTATACATTTCGAAATGATGATAAGCCACTTCGTTGAGCAATGGTGTGGCCAAGTTGCTTCTAAAAAAAGAGATCAGTGGACCTTACCTGTTAAAAAATTTGTAACAATTATATTAGTGTGCACTTGTTGGGGTTAAAAATGTGTTTTTCTTTGTTATTCGCGTTCAGTTAATTGCTCGTAAAAGTATTAATGTTTTGTAAAAAAGAAAATCTAGTCACCAGCGCCTTGCTATGCAATGAATTGTGTTCAGTGTTATTGTGGTGCAGTGCAGAGTACAATATAACTAAGCATTCATATTGTCCTCGCCTTGTTTGCATAATGTAAGCACCCAGATTACAGGCGCAGAACCGCGCGTCCGTTGACGCCCTTGGTCAAATGTTGGGTCCAACAATTCCAAATTAATGCCACAAAGTTCAACTTTCATTTGGGGTGGTGGCGTTTAAACACGAGATTGAATTTTTGGCGCAGCGGCTTGTAAACCCCTGGGCGTTTCGTGACCGTGTGTGGCACGCCCATGCTAAGTTGAAGCGAGCAGTGGGATTGGAGAACCCGTACCCTGCCTGTGAAGTCACTGGTGCCATAGCAGCCTGCAACCTTTAACCTACTGAAGTATCCTCCCGATCCTCGCTCGCATCCATCCGCAGAGCTCGGCGATTCCGTGCCTCTGGCTCCTTCCAGTGAGTAGAGTTGCATTTTACAGAACGTTGTTTTCGTCTTGAAAGGTATTATATATTTTTTTACGTTGATAATTGTTGATGCGCAGTTTACGATACGGTCATTCGATTCACGATGTAATTCTGCGTGCGGTTTGTTCGTCGTACTTCTTAATTGTGTGTGTGTTTTTACCCTACCAGATTAAGATAAGCGTTTGGAAAACCGTCACATCTCACCCGCACCTCTGAGTAAACACAATTAACTACGTGCGAACGTTGCTCCAACGTTGCTCCAACGTTCGCATGGACGGTAGTTAAAACGGTGACCCAAACAGCCAAAATGTTGCACGTTTATTGGGCTTCTTCCCCCTGGTGGTCCAGGCTCGTAGTGTGTGGTGTTGTTATTCTGTGCATCGTGATTGCAGGCATGTATTCAGCAATTACCAGCGAAACGTCGTACTCAAAAAAATTGTAAATGTTGTGGTTTCACGCTTCAACACACCGGTGGGCTAAAACGGTGAACTATTTGTCTTTTGTCAACGTGACACTTTTTTGCTGATTGGTCGTGTCGGGTGGTGGAGGGTTACAACACATTTATAAATAACGCGATCTAACCCAAAGCGTTGATTATGAATGTATTCAGCACACGGAGGGATTTGGGCTTTGCTGCATGCCGTGATTTGCGTGAGATATTCCAAACGTGGTTTGTTGGCCCCACAGAGATGCGACATTTGAGGAATGCACAAGCCAATGTTGCTTCATGTGGCTCACAGCGCATCACGCAAATAAACTTCCCAAATAAACTTCAATATTAGGCCATTGTTGGAATTTTGTTGGGACCGTTGGCCTAACGTTGCCCAACAATTTTTACTGAATTATTCCCCCCGTATTTTTTGTTAACTAAAATATTAAACATTGATATGCAAGTTGCAGAACACGTGGAAGAGAATACTAGACGGCAGTTTTAAAGACGGATGTACAAATGTGCCATAAAGATGTACAATATAGCAAGTACAGTACAGTAATCGTTATTTTTGGCAGTATGAGAAGAATAGTTTTGCATTGTTATTGCGCTTATATATTTTTATTGCTGTTAAACACGACAGCAGCATTTCGAGAATTGGCACAATTACGCACATTCTGCATTTGCAAAATGTAATTATTTTTTACAAAATTATTAATTGCAATTCTTCTACTAATGTGTATTTCCATATGAAACATCATCTTATCGATTAAATTGAAGGTACGGTAATATTGACCCTGCACTGTTTCCATTTCTGTGCCGCGTACCTTTTGCAGGAACTTGAAGAAAAGGTTTACGGTGGCCTTGGTAGCAGAATCAAGGGCATCTTCATTGTACTTTGTACGGCTGGGCAACGTCTGCACTGTGAGTACAGGGCTACAGTAAAAACCTCTTCGCTAGGACCATAAAAAAAACCACCACAGCCCAAAATAAAATGATCACGTTGGTTTTTTGCAGCCACTTGTAATCCAAGTGTGCAGTTCCAGGTGAGGCTGCTTGTTGAGAATTTCTTCTCTAAAGCTTTCACCGCACAAGACTGCGGGCATCTACAACTCTTCAGAGGATGCGTGGCAAAATCTTGATGGTTTTAGGATGTGCTCAACACGTGGTCAAATCCGGCAGAGAACATATTTCACTTAATATTGTTGCTTTAAGTTGTCCTTTCCAGCTGCAAAGAGCAACAGCATATGGGCCGCACAATCCTTCTTACCAAGGCGAATCATTGGATTTAGCTGATTTGGTTGCATTTTTATGTTGTGGAGATATTCAAGGAAGTCGTGTACTGTATACGCAACTTCGCACAATTCTGTGAGTCATTTATAACTGCTTTGCCGTAACTTATTGCCAATTATGGACTCAGATTTAAGTCCTATCATCTCATAGAGTCCCTGGCACGTAATAATATGCTATACAGTGGCAGTGGAGGTCGCAAAATGCCGCTTTATCTATCTCCATATATATAAAAGGCAAAGAAAGTTGTGATTATGTGCGTCTGTTCAAAATGTTTAGCGTACTTCCCGACATGCAACAAACTTTAAATTTGCCATGTGGGTACTTTCCAGACTGTACACCATGCAAAAATTATAAAAATACACTTTTGTGTTTTTTTTGGGGGGGGGGGAGCTCAATAATGCATATATTTTTTTGCACAGCAAGTGAGCTGTGACGTCAAATCTGCCACGTGACCCGCGCATGTGGAAGCGTAACGCAATGCAGTGTAGTGGGTAGCGCGCTGTCTGTTTGAGTGGGGAGCGGTAGTGTAGTGGTTAGCGTGCCGCGCTACGAACCCAGCGACCCGAGTTCGATTCCCGCTCACGACCACGACCGGTGACGATTATTTGAACCGGTCCTGGGCCTCCCCTAGGTCGACTCAGCCTTAAACGAGTAACTGGTGTGGTGTGTGAACATCGCCACTGGGGAGACAAAGGCGGCCGGGTGTGGTGAATCCAAGTCCCAAGCGAAGCCGGGGTAGTAAAGCTAGTACTGTGCAGTATATATAAAATGGAAATTTGTGCATGCGTGTCTGTTCGAAATGTTTAGCATACTTTCCGACATACAACAAACTTGAAATTTGGCATGTGGGTAGTTTCCAGACTGTACACAATGCAAAAATGATAAAAATGTACTTTTGCATTTGGGAGGGAGGGGGGGAATGAACATGAAGTATGTGGCGTCAACCCGCATACAGGACAGGCGGGAATCGATATCTGGTGAGCGTTTGTGGCATCGATTAAACGGGAATAGGCCGATTCTAAAGAAATCTACAACCTTCGATTCCCTTGCGCGATTTAAAGAATCGAATCTTGGCTTGGCACGCAAGCATAAGGTTGTTTTCCACCGCGCGTTGGATTTTATTTTAATTAATGAGGTAATGATCAAAGTTTTCTTTTCATTTGTATATGTTATGTTTTAAATTATATTTTTCTCCTGGGCAACACCGGGTACTTCTCGCTAGTTACTAATAAACCCCAATGATCCGATCGAAATTAGGGATTTCGATTGGATCATTGGGGTGAATCGGGGCAATTTTTATGAGTGGATTCGCCATACACATTGAGAGTCCCGTCCCTGTGAATTTTTTGCATTGTTGGCTAAATAAATAAGTCCTTACCTGACATGTCTGGATGTTCCTTTCACATTAAGCAAGGATGTAAGAACTTAGAAAAAAAATAATGGCAGGGAATTCCAGAGTCTAGCGGTGCATAAGGGAAGCTCTGTAAAGTGAGTTGTTTTGACCTGCAGTGTGGAGGATCAATGCAGTGTGGATTAAGACGAAACAACCTGACCAAGAGCTACAACATTGTACATTGCAACGATATCAGCTGGACATTTTTTCGAATTGTCAACTGCTTTCTTTAGAATCAGGATGACAATGAATTTTGCCTCTTGACATTTCTTTGGCATTTGGCGAGAGACATGTACATCAGACATGACTAGAGAAATGTGCATCAGATATGGACCTGCTAACTTGGGATTTTAATAAAATCTAGTCACTGGCCGACGTTTTATTCTTTACCAATGTGCATGCGTCTGACCAGATTCCTAAAGATTGGTCTTATTTGGTTCTCCAAATATTTTCAGATTGTACCATGGATTGTTCGGCAAGACGTTCGACGTGATATGTCAACTTTTCGTTCCACGTGCTGAGGGCTTGTTCAGGAGCACTGCTGTTCCTGAAATGTTCTGTTCTGGAGAAGCTCCCAGCACGTGGAACTGAACGTCGAACGTTGTGCCGAACAACACGCACTGCATCCCGAAGATGCATTGGAGCCGTATAGAACAACCGCGAAAACCTACGCAGTCGTGTTTTTGTTTAATTTTGATTAGGGGAGGCATGTCAACTTTTCTGACACTCATTAACTAACACTAAATCCACCATTTGTTTCAGATTTTTGAAGACTGCAGCATTCTCAGTCATGTACATTCTCCTTCTCGCTCTGCTACCGATAGTGGCCGTGGTGGTGTACTTCCGCTCACGGGAGCGCAATGTCATCAGCAATACCACGGACAAGTATGTGTTCATCACGGGGTGCGACACGGGCTTTGGAGAGTTACTGGCCAAGCGCCTGGATGTGCGCGGGTTTCACGTGATCGCCGCATGCTTTACGGAAGAGGGGCAGAACGCCATCAAGGCGGAAACCTCTCAGCGACTAAAAACGGTCAGCCTGGACGTGACAAATAACGAGAGCGTGAAGCGAGCTGCCGAGGCCGTGCAAGAGATTGTCGGCGACAAGGGTGAGTCAAACCGATGTTGAAGCGAAACTTACAGCTGGGTGTGACAGATGAAGGATTTTACGCGTAGCTTTGTTACTGTGAAAGGGGTTTTCATATAGAGCTCTTTCGATGGTGTGAACTTTGTTATTAAGTGAAACAGGGAGTATACATCGTGTGTAAGTATGCGCGGATTCTGTGACGCTTTAAAAAAAACTTGCATTTGTCCACGGAAATTGTTTTGATAAGGATCAGAATCACCGATTTCCCCACGATTGACACAGCAAAAGCAGGCCATCATCCAGCAGTGGTTTTACAAGGACTGTAAATCATTCAGAAGGAAATGAAATATAGTTTACAGTCATATTGCTTTTAAATAAAACCACATCTCAAGATGCTGAACAGAGAGAGAGAGAGGCAGTCCGTTATATGTAGAGGAAGAAAAGCAGTCTCGTGCCCAGGTTTGAGTAGGGGCAGGGAATCGACATCACAGATGGCAGGGGAAGTCTGGTTGGCACAGCCCCAGTAAGCGCCGATGTCACTTGCGACGAACACGTCGAGGTGCATGTAGATGACGTGTTGACAATGTGTTTCAGTTGTGTCGTGAATCCAACTGAGTCGCAGACGTTAACTCGGGAGCAACTTTATTTATTCAACACAACAGCACCAACATAACACAACCTACGCTCGGGTCTCGAATGCCCATCTAGCCACGCTACGCCAGAACTAGACACGGTTCGCTATCCTGGTGCGGACCACAAGCTGCTGGGTCCCGGACCGCGTGGCTAGAGGCTTCTTCTCCCCGACGTGGATCTTCGAACACCAATACTTGAAGAACCCCGAGCTCCTTACGGAGCTCTCGTTATATGCTCCCAGGCTGGGGGCTGGCTCCGCCCATAGCCCCGCCCACCTTCCAGGCTCCTTGAGCTCCTTCTCGAATGTTCCCGAGAGCTCTCCGGGACCACGTGACCGCCCCTCGGCTCCCGTCCACCGGTGGCCCCCCTCCAGTATCATCCGGTCACGTGACAACAGGTCAGCCAGAGCGTCATGCTCCAGAGTAACCTTGGCTGGCTGACGCTTGCTCTCGCCCCCTCGCTGGGAGCCGGCACCGCACACTGCTCGCGGTGCCTTCGCGCTAACTAGCGCTCGCCCAACCACCGCTAGTGTCGGTACGCAGCCCACAACCCGGCTGCCCGCAATGACAACATCACCGGCCGTGACTTCGCAAGTCCACACAGTGACAAGAACAGTCACTAAAGTTGCACTGACATCCCTCAAAATGAACGAATCATCAGCACCCACCCCTGGCGCTGCTGATCACCAAGCCATATTGAAATGTCTTGCCGGCGTGTCTCGTTTTGGTTCAGGGTCTGCTAGGAAAATAGTGGAACACCACCCTGACTGTAAGGCAACGATTGCCGACTAGCGTTTCCAAACATGCGGCTCTATCGAAGGGGCATCACGTAGAACATGCCGTCTCGAAAACTGTCGATATATACACACTTATATATACACTTGGCTCTTTGGCTCTTGATCTGTTATAGGTTGGCCACCCCTGCTGGAAGGGATCCGGCACTGGCTTGGCTCGGATGTGCCAGTGGAAAAGGGATATGAGCGGCGGGCGCTGTTTTGCCCCTGCACGTTGTTTATCGTGATGAACTGCATCGTGTGCAGGACTCTGGGGCCTGGTGAACAACGCAGGTGTGTGCCTTCCCGTCGGCCCCGTGGACTGGCTGACGATAGAACATTTCCGCCCGTGCATGGAAGTGAACGCAATGGGCTTGGTGGCTGTGACGCTTGCTTGCCTACCCATGCTCAAGCGTGGCCGTGGCAGGGTTGTGAATATAGCCAGTGTGCTGGGCCGCCTGGCTATGGGCGGAGGAAGCTACAGCTTGTCCAAATTCTGCGTGGAGGCCTTCTCCGACATACTGCGGTGAGTTAGAAAAAGTATTGTTACAGGCAACTAGGGTTGTCGCAATATGGCGACACTAATGATTTCTCGCACGTTATGAGATCCACGTTGAACACATTTGACGAGACAATTAATCTTCTTGGTTCTTTCGGTAAAGTCACGTAGAAGGGAAATAATAAAATAATAAAAATAAAACAATAATATACGGAAAGACAGAGTCTGAATGACTGTCTTTCCGACAGACCTGTTCTTCACCTGAGGACGGCTGCTTGCGTTGTGGCCGAAACGTCGTGAGAATTATTTTATTATGTTTTATTATTTTATTATGTTTTATTTTTATTATTTGCCTTCTACGTGACTTTACCGAAATAACCAAGAAGATGAATCCCTGCAGTCACGAAAGCTTTAAATCGAGAGACAATGAGTATAAATGCAGAATAAGGTAATTTAGCAATGCTATTCGAGACTGTGCATTGTACTGAGGAAGACCAAATATTTGTTGACCGCACATATATAAAAAGATTCACTGATTGACTTACTTGACAATGTGGAGGGAGAGTGGAATTGAATTGCCCGCTCCTCGCAAAATGAAATCCACGGAATAAGAATTCACTCATTGCACGTAATATGAGTGTCATTGTTGAGAACATAATTAACAAAATAAGCAAGCAAGACGATATGTCTCCGTCACATATCTGTCTCTTCAGATAAAAAAAATTACAGTTCTTACACAACCCATTAGCCGCACAGCCTTCTGGGAGTGCATAATTTTCGCAGTATTGTATCAAGCGCCTTGGAATGAGGCACTATATAAATTTAAACAAGATAAGACAACCAAACTCAACATATAGTGCCTCATTAAGTCAGACTGGCTTGAATCAATTCTGGTGAGCTACTGATCTTTGCAAGGCAGGGAGCCTCACTTTACAATATGGGTCATAATTCTATGCAAAATTATACAATACATATCATTCCATAGGTTCACATCGATTATACTAAGACAATTACTACATTTAAAAAAAATGCTGACTAAATTATCACCTTTTGCAAGTCGTTCATTTCAATTAATTGGCTTCCTATTATTTTGCTACATCCCGTCGAACTACAGCTGGACAAAAATTGCAATACTCAATTCACTACCAGCTTAGGAAATATGAATCGTGAGTGAAATTATGTCTGCGTGCGTTTTAAAATACATGTTCGTACGTTGTATGTATATTATCATGAATTATGTTCTGCACAATGCAGGAGAGATGTCCAAGTGTTCGGTATTAAGGTCGTCATTATCGAGCCAGGCTTCTTCAAAACAAACCTCACCGATGACAAGAAATTTACAAAGTGCTTGCGTGACATTTGGGCAACACTTCCCAAAGACACCAGGCACCAGTATGGGGAGGACTTCATTGATAAAGGTAAATGGTTTATGTTTTCAACGTTGCTCCTGCTGCCACTGTTTTTCGTCCACTGCACGTTGTGTCTGCCGAGCACACATTTTCACCTGTACTCCTGTAGCTGATAGCTGTCCAGTGTAATCCGTGTCGTTCGGCGTGATGCCTGACGTTTCAGTCTACACGCTGGGAGCTTCTTCAGGAACGGTTCAGTTCCCGAGAAGAATCTCCCGGCACTTGGAAGGAACATTTTGGTTCCTGTAGTAGCGATGTTTTAGGAAAGTTATAAATGAGATTTTACAATAATATGGTTGTGTTTTTGTTCATTGCTAGATAAATCCCCCCCCCCCCTAAAATCTAAATGTCCTATTTAGGCCCTCCAAATCTGGTGGACACAACTTCAAAATGTCCTTGTTTTTCATGTTCCCAAATTTTTGTGGTACAATAGAAGTACATTTCTTAGTTTTTAACGAAGGTCAGTGAAAGTTTAAATCTGAATGTTTAGTAGGGTTTTGAATCCGAATATGATATCTTGTTTTGACCAAATTTTTTTTTTTACCTTTTTGTACATTTCGTAATTGTCCATGTTGTTCCAATGCAATACATACCAGTATTTCTGTGCATTTCTCTCAGTGACGGAGGCCAACACGAAGAACTTAGGAAAGCTTGTGGACGCAGACATTTCCAAAGTTCCCATCGCCGTGGAGCGTGCACTCACATCGGCGCGCCCCTTCACCCGCTACTCCGTCGGATGGGATGCCACCCTCTTCTGGTTGCCATTATCGTATGCACCCACATTCGTGATTGATTACCTTCTCACACGAGAATACATAAAACCTGCCAACGTTTAGACTAACTTAGGCCAAGGATCGATGTATTCCTAATTCCAATACCGTTGACTAATTGTTTTTTTCTTTTTAATAATTGTAACTTTTCCTAAATATATCCCAATTGTGCTTTCGGCTACCATGGCATTCAATGAAGTATCCATTTGGAACTCTACCAGGGCAACTCGGCCAGCCGTGTTAGAGAATGGACCACAGAAGCGAATATTACAGAGCTGCCTCTGCTTTCCTTTTAAAGTGACCTCTTGGTCCACACATGGTAGAGGGGAGCACTTTCCCACCCGCTCTGCATAAGAGAGTAACGTGCGTGGCATGACAGTAAAACTGATAATTTCATTCTGAGTGCTGCAATTCAGTCAAATTTAAGTGTAGAAACAAATTTGTTGTGATGTATTTTTGTGCAGCCCTTTGGTGACTGGGCTGAGATCATAAACTCCACACCCCTGAAAACCTGGAGACCAAAATATAACAAGATAATTGCTTTTTTACCCTTCTATCTGGCAACAAAACTGACACCTTTTTTACAAGGAGTTATGTTTGCATAGACCACAATACCTGCAGTCATAATGCAAACAAAAAACATAACTCTGATAATGTATGCACTGTCCTTGAAGTTGATTGGTCCACACCCGAGACCGCTTTCCTTAGAGTCTAGTCTCACATGGTGTTGGACCAGATGACGCCAAAAGGTGAAAATATACTTTTAAATAATTCAAAAACAAATTCGTGGTGATGGGTTTATTTACTCCATGACATTTCCTTGATTTGTTGACACGGGGACAAAAGTAATCCCGTAGCATATTGGCCATTCTTTAATTACCAACACAGGTATGGTTGAACGATGAAAGCCTCCTCCACGATGCCCAGAGGTTGTCTAACTTTCCTTCACCACGCCAGTCAGTGCAAGTTAGGGCTGTCCAGGGAGGGGAGCACAAATGGGGCATTCTGGCCAGGGCCTCGAACAAAAGAGAGGACCCGACAATGGGACTTTACATTCTAGATTTGAAGCTTTCGTAACTGCAAGAATTCATACTCTTATGTTTTTTCGGTAAAGTCACGTAGGTAAAAAAAAATAGAAATAATAATAGAAATAAAATAATAAATCATGACGTTTCGGAGGCAACACAAGTCTCCGTCATCAGGTGGGACCGTCACAGCTAGATTTACTGTTCTCAAGTGAGACAGTACATCTAGCTGTGACGGTCCCACCTGATGTATCTATTATTATTATTTAACCTACGTTACTTTACCGAAAAAACCTAAGAGTATGGGCCTTTCCAGTTGAATAACGGGGCCCTATGTGGAAATTCTTCCCTGGGGCCTCCAGGAATTTTGTAATGGGGATGCCCAGGATCAATTTAGCCCTACGCTTGCCACGGATGTTAACTGTGGCCAGGAATGAAATCAAACTCTTGAGTTGCCAGATTTCTGAGCGCCGTGCGCTATAACCGCAGCAGCAGCAGCGCCGCTCCACCCCCGTACAGATACGTTGTATAAAGCTGTTGATGGTCATTTGTCACCTGGAAATTCTTTATTTGTTACGGTTTTTTAAGGGCTTAATTTTTGTTTAAAAGTCTAAATGTGAAATAGGAATTTCAGCCACCATGTTGACATTTTTAAACAAACAATTTCAGTTTTTGCCATGTAAGCAAAATATCACTTCACACTACTTTGTATGCCACTGCAAACATATGCATATATACATTGAAATATTCTTATATTACTCCAAATAAAGTTTGAAATGAAGTTTCCGCTCCAAGTTGTTGACCTGTTTTGTTCAAGAGTGACTTTCCGCACCGTTTTCTCTGCATTATAAGATGGTAAGTGATATGCAGTGTTAAAGTTATACAAATTTGGCCAAGTGCATAATGCATACCTAACGGATTATAAGACACTCCCAAATATTGCTTTAAAACCAGGCGAAAAAGTGAGTCTTGATTTTAAATTTTTCGTAAAAGAATGTAGTCGTGCTTTATTTTTTTTACGTTTTTGACCGGTTCCCAATTAATTTAGAAACATGCGTTTTAGAAAATTTAGATTATTTTGCTAATATAAATGTCCACATGATAAGTCACCTTGTTGAGCTATCATTTGTGGCCATGTCACTTTTGAAAAAACAAGTTAATACCTCAGTGGGTTTTGTCTGGTAGGATTGGGTTGGTTTCGTTGTACTCTTAGGTTTTTTTGGTAAAGTCACGTAGGAAATAAATAAAAAAATAATAAACAGTGCTGTGACAGTTCCGCCTGAAGATGGAAGCTTGTGTTGCCTCCAAACCGTCGTGATTTATTATTTTATTTATATTATTTCTTATATTTTTATCATTATTTATCTTTTATTATTATTATTTTTTACCTACGTGACTTTACCGAAAGAACTAAGATTATGAATCCTTGCAGTCACGAAAGCTTCAAATCTAGAATTGGTTTAGTTGTATTTGTATGTATTTGGTTAATTTTTTGGCCTTTCTTGTACTTTGTACTGCTAGCATGTGTTTGTATTGTAACGTTCTTACCTGCCTCGACTGAACATCTGTGAAAAAGAGCTTTTAGCTCGTCGGTTCCTCCAATATTAATTACATATTCTGATATGACATGTAAACTATATACTAATAGTTGCTGTTTGTACAGCAACCCATCTGTGAAGGACAAGATTCCTGACATGCAATATCCCGGCGTCTACAAACTAAGCTGTATCTGCGGCAGCAGTTACATTGGGGAAACCAAACGACATGTCTCGGACCGTGTTCGTGAACATAAGGCAGATCTGAAAAACGGCAGGACCAATGCTTCTGTCGTGGCTGATCATAACTTTAATGCAGCTGGCTCACGTGAAATTTAATTCTCTAAGACGATGGTGCTTTGCAAGCCGACTGGTTATCAACAAAGATTCGTTCACGAAGCCATCCACATATATAGAGACACAGACACAATTTCAACCGAGACGCCGGTTTTAAACTCAGCAATCATTGGAAAGATGTCATCAACCACTTTGGGTCAGGACTTGAATTGTGTTTGTCAACCTCTACCGTCAGCAGTGTGGATGTGTGTAGCGAGGTGCAATGCCCCCCATATCTATACCCCCCTCCCCCCTATCTCTACCCCCTCCCCCCTATCTCTACCCCCCCCCCTCTCCCCCCTGTCTCTACCCCCATGGTCTGCTACTGGCTGTCCCGCCCATGCTGTTTGCGCTGCACAAGCTCACCTCCGCCCAGAGGTCGCAATCGGGTACCCGATACTCGTACCCTACCCGATACCCGGCTACCTGTACCCCGCCAGGGGAAGGGGAAGGCCGTGAGCCACTGGTGAGTCACCGTTCGTCACTCATTTCCCAACGTCTTGTCTCTTCTCACAATTCAAGTTCCTAGAATCAACCCACCCGCGCCTGCAACATGGCTTCATCCCAGAGGTCGCAATCGGAGACCCGTACCCTACCCGATACCCGGCCGGGTACGGGTAGCCGGGTATCGGGTAGGGTACTGGGTACCCGATTGCGACCCTGGTGCGGCCGGGTACGGGTACGGGTAAGGAATCAAAACCCGTTTGCGACCTCTGCCTCCGCCCAACTCCCCCTTTGTGCAGAGGCCGTAGCTAGGGGGGGGCAGGGGGGTACATGTGTCCCCAGGAGCCAAGGTAAAGGGGCGCCAAAATGAGGCTTACAACGTTACATTATAACTTACTAGCGGTAAGTACCCGGCGTTGCTCGGGTGAAAAAGGCAGACACATGGACTTACACACAGACAATGACCCACACACATAGAAACACATCAACTTAGACGCACACACACATATGGTTAAACCCAGGATGGAACGTTAGCAGGCCAGCCTAAATGTTTGTAACCGGCGAAGATGTTCCATTAGGGGGATGCACGTTTCGCAAGCGTATAGAAGGGAGGGAATTACCGTGGCCGAGAAGACCTCGAGCTTCATGCGGAGCGAGAGACCAGGTAGCTTCCACACAGTGTAACGCAGCCGATGAAAAGATAATGGCGCTCAACTGATTTGGAGTGATACCTCTGCTGTTAAACCGGAGCCGGTCATGAGCACACTGGCCAGGTATGGGAATCTCGGCAATCTCTCCACAACTGCCGCATCACGAATTGTAAGCTGTGGGGGTGGATTGTTCGATGGTACAAAATACCCACGCAGGTGCTTAGTTTCGGTGGGGCTGATGGTTAAACCCCACCTCTTAGTGGCAAGCTCCAGGTTCAGCGCAGTGAGCAGCAATCACCAGAGCATCGGCATACATAACATGGTTGAGCAATAGGGAGGCATCCGTTGACCGCACCCGGGCATCGATCAGCCTCCCATTGTATCTGCACCATATAATAATTCCTCGGGTACAGCTACTGAAGGCTTCACGAACTACGTGGTCAAAAGATATGTTAAATAATATGGAGCCAGAGGACATCCCTGTTACATCCCAAGGTGTAGAGAGAATGGCTCTGACTGACGGCCATGTAGTTTGACGCGGGGCCGCTCACCATCATGAAGGTCCTTAAGGATCGTGAGCAAAGTTTGAGGGACTCCGAAAGCACGAAGAACAATTTGATTCAAGGGTCAAATAAATATCGTATGTAATGAACACTATAAGCAGACTACGCAAACTTTACACAGCTGTTACTCCACGTAAATTAGTTTTTTACCCGTCCTATCAGCAGCATGGGCTATGGGGTGCATTATTTAAGCAGCATCGATTCAAGACAAGCAAAACTCTGCACTTATTGGATGTGTAAAAAAAAAGTTTTTAGTGAACGGACAGATATGTGAAAAATGCAGATATAATAGTTCAGAGTCAAGGACTAGTCTTTCCAGCATACAGTTGTCTATACAATTATCATTTCTATATCATCTACATGTAACCGCATCTCAAGGCGCTGCAACACGTTCCTTCGGAGTGGGCAGGTAGGAACTTGGTTGGACAGCGCATTCGTGCACGACAGACAGACAAATAATCCCTGGTGGGCAGTGTGGAACCTGTTGTTCCTACCTGTAAAAAAAACAGTGCATATTTAGACTCCTATTTCAATAAAACTAAAATTTTAACATGAAAAGGGCTACAGATATCTAATCTAGATTTGAAGTTTTCGTGAATTTACCGAAAGAACCAAAGAGTATGGACTAGAGATATGTTCGTCAATGTTTTATTAAAAACGTAACATTCACAGCACTAACGTCGATGCACTTGATGTTGTACGTTCGTGAATATTCAAGTTACGCAGTAATGCAGGCTTCACGTTTACCGTCTCGTTTTCTGCAGCTGAACAGCCAGGCAATGGGACAACCTGCATCCGAGGGAGTGTTTTTTTTTACTGTGGCGTTGACCATTTTCTCTCAAAATATATGGTTAACTGATGCCCCCTCCTTCTGAGTGGCATGAAGATCATGTTGATCTTGTAATAATATTGTACGGTCTCCAACTCTTATCCACTATAGCTCTCCGGCCTATCCATTTGTACGTGTGTGGTGCTATGAAGATGGGCCATTGCTGAAAAAGTTGCCTCTTTTAAGTATTTGTGCACCACTGCCAACACAGTATCACCAAAATAATTTGCAATGAAAAATCCGGTTCCGGGTCCTGACCCACGATGAGCATGGAGATTTGCCTACACATAAACACAACTCCTTTGAAATTGGCAAGACAGCGTTTGTTTAAAATAGTGTGATAGGTAGTAAGTGTGAAATGCTATATCTCCAACTTAGCTTGTTTTGTTTAACCATGCGAGAACTCCAGACACTAGGATGAGTCGCGTTTGCAAGCGTGACCTGGGTCACGAATCTTCCAGTGGGACAAAACCATTGCCATGTACGGGACTCCTCTACTTACGAACATTTGACTTACGAACAAACCTGTCCGAATGTCCAGTTGCCTGTTCAGACCGAGAGTCGTAAGTTCAACCGCCGCGCAATAGATGGGGGTGGTGGCATCTACATCTGTAGACCATGAAGAAGCAGTGGCATCTACAGATTATACAACTTTTAAAGCCATTCCCCGTGTTTAGTGTGCATGCCGTACAACATTTTGGAATCGACAGGAGTAAAGTTAGACTAAAGAACAAATCGACTTCCGAACAGACCTCCGGAACCTAACTCATTCGTAAGTCGAGGAGTCCCTGTATAGCACCATTTGGTAAATAGGTCAGAGGGGGCTAAGCCCTGCTAACCCAAACCACCTGCCGCTCATGAACTTTATCACAGAACTAATATAGCGGGTGCCGTCACGTCACGGTCATCATCATTTATCTGTGTATCCTCCAAAGTTCTGCAGAAAACTGGTCAAATCACGGATCGCTTGCACATTGCAATTAATCTTAAGCTCGTGAAAGATGTTTCTCGTCGTGTGTAAGAATCCATTCTTTATCATTGGTGCAGACGAGACGCCAGTGTATATTTACGTGACTAGAGACCGACCAAGTGAGCTGGAACATTCGAGACAGACAATACAAATGAGACGGTATACACAAGGCAAAACAAGACGAATCTATGATTCCATTGAACCGTGACCCCAATTCACAATTCATCAAATCTCTGAGGATGAAAAAACCTGCCTCGCCCCTGCAGCTAAGAGGATCCACAGATGATTGGTCAGACTAAAGACAATTTACAATCGATTACAAGTTTGGCTTTTAAACCTTTGTACGTTAACAAAATTGTAATGTGTTGCCCAACGGGGAGACCTTAAGACCGGATGGTGGGATATTGTTAGACCAGATCCGAAGTCGCGAGGTCGTTCGTCTGCTGGACAGCTCCTGCGGGATCTGGAGGAGAGTGGATCGAGTCCGTAAAGTTGGAAATCATCAACGGCCCCTTGCAACGATTCCATGCAATGTTTGCCACCGTCTTTGTGAAGTAAAAAAAAAACTACACTCAAGCAAACCCTACGACCGGTTTCTTTTTTGCCATCTTCGTCTAAATGAGACAACAGAAATGCAGTGGCAAAGCTTAAAAGTGGAACATACACACATACTGCACTGTACTTTCCAACCAATCATTACCACTTAGTATAAAGCATACACAACCACATGCACGGGCACGTAATGCATATACGTTCACGCACACAGGATATTATACCCATGACATCAAAATTGCTATCATATACATATACGTGTATATATTAATATGCTAAAACTGTGAATATGTCGGTGATTTTGTTATGCAACGGATACAAATTAATTTTTTATGCAAGTTATTACGCAACGTTCACCATTTACAGGTTTTATTTTATTTGTAAAGAATAATTGTTGACGCTTTTTTTAAATAATAATAACTGCTTAACGTGAGCGCTGCATTGTGCGAAGTGGCGATTGGTAATACTTGACTCATTTTACGACGGGCGCAGCAATAGTCTAAATGAGTTTATGAACAAAAGTTAAATTGAACGAGCAAGTTAGACGTTAGTGTCGTAAATGGACATTGTTATTGCAACACAGTAAAAGCACATGCTTTTTTTTTGTTTCCCGGTGCAAATCCACGAATATTTCTTTCACGGTAAACCTTGACCTGACCACTACAAACAAATCCAATACTGCAGACTTAACCTTGCCTCACCGGTAAATGTTCGGGTTGTACCTCGCATAGTTTGGCACGATTGTCCGGCGTATGTATATTAAACTAAGACTAAAATAAAATGTTTAAATCTTACCCACTTGAGCCACATAGCTCTTTATCAGAATCGACCTGGCCACCATGTGAAAGCTCAACGAAGTGGCTCATCGTCGTCACGTGGAAATTGACAGCAGCCAAATATAGTACTCGAAACGCGTGCTGTTGATTCTAAATGTGGAGGGGGAAACCGGAGGACCCGGAGAAAAATCCACGCGACCGCGGGGAGAGAGACACCGCAAACTCCAAATATACAGCAGCAGGCGTCAGGGTCGGGGTCGAACCCACGCCTCCTGTATACCAGGCGAGGTTGTTAACATCTCGCCACCGCGACGCCCCCCCCCCCCCCATGTACGTCCTTTAGAGGTTATTGCTTCAAACAGATTGACCCCTAACACGCGGAGTACAACGTCGGACATCGTTTCGAACAACGCGCAGTATAAACCTGAAAACACATCGGCAGCAGAGCGACACAGCATAACCGCGCATCCCTACGCAGCAGTGTTGATTACCTTACTCCGACAATCTAAACATAATGTGACCTTATTTTGGTTAAATGCAACTGCGAACTTTGTAATATACAGCCAATGTAACGATGTTGTGCTGTTAATTCCCCCCCCCCCCCCCGTATTGACCCCAAAGCTTATAAAAGTCTGAAAAGTAAACACTGCAAACGATTTGTTTATTTAATGGCGTGTTAACAGTGTGAACGTCGAGCGTTTGTACAATGCCGACAGTTAATGCCTTCAACATATTTGTTTAAGACAATGTGCTTGGATTATTCTGTGCTCACGTGTCCGGCACTGCGTTATGCCATAATGTTTTTACGCAAACGCACACACGTAGGTGGCAGATAATGCGCCTCGAACAATAGTATTTAAATGAATAGGGAGTTTGTTTAATCACCACGAAGAACAGAAGGTTTAATCCATCAGCCGTATATGCCTTCACAGTTAAATGTTTATCAATTGGTGGCCGGGTGGATACGATATCAGAGCGCCAAGCCAGCCCTGCCGAGTTCAAATTCCACGTTTCAGCCGCCCACTATTAAACTGCGTTGCCAATTGCTCCCAGTTAATGGTCTCGGGTCGTTCACCAAATGACCGCACACAAACGAAATGACGTTGTGTGCTGTTAACTTACATTTGTCCAAGTGCAGCAGCGTCCATAGATGTGGACCAAGGTGAGTTCCCGCCCCTCCCCTCCCTAATTAAAAAACGGGGCCACGCAAGAATTTCGAACGGGCATTTCTTCATCCCGTGGATGAGGGTGGGAGCATGATGCCGAACATCATATTTGAAACACAATTTGGACAAAGCGTGTGTCGCGGTCATACCTATTTAACGTTCGCTCGGTTTTCGCCAACACCGAGATGAGTCGGCCGAACCTCCGATGCCACCGAAGAGCGATGTGGGGGGCAGAAGTCAAGTAAGATCCAGAAGGCCGATAGGCTGATGGTCTCAATGTTAATTCCACAAACCCTCGCCCGCTTGCTGGATTTAACAATTGCGCAGTTTTCCATTATGTGATCTGCTGGTATTGAGTGTTTTTACTACAAAAAAATTGCTAGTAAGTAGGGTTGCCGCGATGTAATTTTTGTAAAACCATATGATGCACATTTTTATACGACGATTATCTAGATATTAGTTCGCCATAAGTTGTAAATTGTATTTTACATATTGTGTAACGTTTGTGTGCTTTGCTGTACTTCCAGTAGGAATAGAAATTGTTTAACTGAAGTTCACTCAACGTACACATGCCATGAAACTTCTAATCGTGGCAGACCATTACGACACTTTTTAAACGCACGTGCTGTCAGTCACGTGAAAAAAAAAACATTTCAAAGCAACTAAGAAAATGATGACATTGTATAATCGCCATCCATCAAATACCCTGGAACACATTTAGCAAACCACTGATGTAATGGGTAATACCTGTTTATTTTGAATTTGAATTATTGTGCTTTTCATGTTTCATTAATATTTTGCAGGAAATTAAATAATCACGCACAACCATATTTAGTCAAACTAACGATACGATTATTGTGGAGCTCATATTGAACGCTCAATTCCAGCAACGCAGCAACCCTACGAGTTCATAAAGCATTGTGCTTTTGCCGAAAACGTGGTAAGCTATGTCCTTACAATTCAACTACGTGGACCTTCTATCACCACAGACTATAATAAGCAAATTTTGTTGAACACATATATATATACCCCTGTTCCACTGGCACATCCAAGCAGAGCCAGTGCGGGGGCGGGGGGGGGGCACTCACAGAACGGGTCATTCTCCACTGGCTACTTTGCCGTGCCGAGCTAAAAAGCAAACACCTCGCTTACGCCGGCCTCACAATGCGTTTGACTCTGGCTTGCGGTCAGCCAGGGCCAGGGGCATTCAGCGCTGCGAGGACACGGCATCACCGCGTCATCCACGTGCGTCTCCACCCGTTCGTTTGCATGCGATGTCGACGGCACGGCTCGGCTTCTGCAGTGGAAAAGCAAGCTGGTGCCTACTGACCCGTGCCATGCTGGCTCGACCCGGTCCTGGCACGGCTCAGGTGTGCAGTGGAAAAGAGGTATGAGATAGAGTAAGAGAGCACAGCAAGGTGTAATGCAGAGGAGGGCACTGGCACAGCAGAATGTTAGTCCATGCTTTCGTAGTTCTGTGTTTGTTTCATTCGGGGTATCATGTCCACTAGGAGCCTGTGGAAAACAAGAAAACACAAGAACAAATGTGCATTTAATATTAATGTATCGTATTTACTGGACTATAAGACGCTCATGCAAGTAAGACACACCCCCCAATGTGTGCCTGGTATAAAAAAAAGCTTAATTTCACCCTGCGAGCCGTAAAATATATCTATCCGCACGCGGCACACCACGTCCAGTATGTATATCGCTATGGCTGCGACTACGACGCACATCCCACCTCCTGGACTCCACCAGCAACGACCCGGAAAATTAGTCGGCGAGAAGTTAAGTCATGCATCTTGCAAAAAAAAATCTCACTTGACGCCGTAGAGCATGATAATGATGCCCATGAGGATGCCGATGAGACCGTCCATGTACCACACGGATGGGTTGTGCTTGAACACCTCGTCGCTGAAGAGAATGCTGAAGCCCATGATGCCTCCCACCAACGAGTTGAAGGCTGGCGCGTGGCGCACAACAGGAAGGACGCGGCGAGTCAGATGTCGCGACGGTAATCATGCAATGAACTTCATTTTACACAACGCAAATCAAACAATTACGACGTCTTCCGTTTGCGCCGTTCTTCCGAGCGCGAGGCATTCCTGAGCGCGCTATGCTTTACGGACACGTTTAGTCAGTCAGTAGGGAGGAGGCGACGTTATGCTCTGTGGTTTTAGCCACTAAGCACTTTTATCAATCTTTAAATTTGGGCCATGAGACCGGGCGACTCTTTGTGAATGACGTCAAGGGGATCTTTGACGTCCACTGCGAGGCGGATGACCAGGTTTTTTTAGTTTTTGCAGCCGCAGTATTAAACCAGGTCAGCCGCAGGTCCACAAACCGCCAACTCTCACAAAGGGCAGCAAAACAAGCGACTGCCTGGCCACGTCACCGCCCCCCCTGTTGGTTTGCCACGCTCCGCTAACGAGTGTACATCATCTGGGAGAGTGAATTGAACATCATCATCATCACCGTCAGCCATGGTCAATCCGCCGTTCAATGAAGGCCTCCTTGAGCCGTTGGCGCAATCATTCACAATTCACTCCTGGAGTGCGATCCATGTGCTGGTCACTGCAGCCTGAGGCCTGCAGGTGATGGTGCGGAGGATACTTAATTATCATGAAACTTGTTCACCCGAGAAAGCTGCGACATTACTGCCATGTGTAATTCCAATTGAGTAATTTGCTGGTAATCTTTCAGCACTTGGACGGTTCACCAATTCCAGTTGTGTGTGTTCACCTATGGGAGCATGGGTGGGTGGGTGGGGGAGAGAAACATAGAAACTCCACACAAAATTTGCGTCCCAGTCGGGTATCGAGCCCAGGCCCTTCTCGGTGCGAGCAAAGAGCCCGTTACCCGCTGGAGTGACTCATGCAGCCAGCTGTGGCTGCAGAGTTTGGTAGTACATGTTGTTTACGTCGTTTATTGTGAAAATTCGGTCACAGTTCCTATGACCACTGTATCATTGCTTTTATGGCTTTATTTGGGTGATTTTCGAAATGGTTTGGCCATGTTTGTTTGTTGTAGTACAGAGTTAGACTGATGGCCTTAATCTAAGTTGTCTCGTGGTTGTTGTTATTTGACTTGCATCCCACTGGGATATTTGCACACAGGGTTGGTGTACAGTGATTTTTCTGCAATATTTTGCTGTCTTTTCTTGGATTTTCTGTTTGCACATAGTCACTTTAAGATGTTTTCTTGTTCATGTTTTAGTTTTTCGTTTGTTGCGGTTGCACCCGATTCAAGAGCCGAATGGCTCACAGGGCTATACCTAATAAATTAACTTTGAACTTTGCTGTCGCCACCTTGCCACCTGACAGAGCGCTCGAGGTCTCACCATCGGTCATGAGTGCCCGGCTGGTGAGGGCCCTCGCCAGGATGAACTTTACCCCGGCCAGGCCGAGGCAGAGAACTCCGCTCAGCACCGACACGCTCAGCAGAAATGCATCCTGGGTGGACAACACAGATGAGGTACATCCTCATGATGATACAAATCGTCACCGTCAAACCCAGCGTCACCAATTTTTCAAAAGCAAAAAAGTGTCTGCGGACTTTGATTGCGGGCGCCCCACGGCTAACATCAGTGGCGATGGATATCTGACCTCTGCGATCACTAACCCGCACTGACCAACGTCGCGACGTACCGTTAATCAACACCCCCCCCCCGTTCCCCCCCCCCGTTCCCCCCCCCCGTTCCCCCCCCCCCGTTCCCCCCCCCCCGTGACTGATATGTGAGGGGAGGTCGTCATCCAGCAGTGGATTGAAAAAGGATGGTCATTATTTATGTATTTCAAAGTGACCACAGAACTTGCAGTGCAGTTCTTGTTAATTGAGCGATCGACCGCACACAGCTGTCACATTTTCCTTGCTCAATAACTGCGATTAATTGTTCCCCTGCGATCTTGACCCACACCCACATTGTCATCCTACGGTGCAGACCTCCAACAACGTGCGGCGCGTGATTTGTGTACGTTCGGTGGAAGTTCGGCAGTTTCGTGGAATTGTGGCTCTTCTCCACTGTGCACCTCCGATTAGCACGGTCGGCTACGTATGGTGCATATGAAGTTCAACATCCATCAATACATAGGCTGGTTGATTCGCAAATTGTTATCATGAGTGGTCACACTCCCACCCACCTCGCTTGTTCAAGTTCATTTTCTTTAACCAGGCGACAACTTAAGAGAGAAGGCTCGTCTCATTTGTAAGAGCGACCCGGGGCATTAATCTGCCGGAAGAGGGCGGCGATCGCTGCGTACAGGCCCCAGTTGATTGTGTCCCGACGGTTCAAACGGCTCGCCGTGGGCGAAAACCTACCACTTTGGGCACGAGTTTGTGAGCGATGTCGTGCGAAGACTTCCCGATGATGCACATGGAGGAGAGCATGAAGACGCCGCCGAGCACGCAGCAGGCACTGAAACGAGCACACGTCGGGGAAACGGAGAGAACAACCGGTGTAAACGTCGCCGTTTCACGCGTCCTCGGATTTCTCTTACGCGTAACATCGCAAGCTGGCCGTTCATCTGTCTGCTCCCGTCCGTCTGTGTGTCCCGTCCCATGTGTTCATTGCATGGCTCTGTTTGGTTTCTCTCTAACAATTGTCGAGAGTTCAAGAAACTGACTTTGTCCCTGTGAGTCGGCCTGTCAGTCACATCACTTGAGTACATTTATTTCATTACCATGATGAGCAATAGCTCATCCTGACCAAAAGGAACCAGGGACCTATGGCATTGACGATGAGATGCGTATGACCATTGACTTATGATCCAAGTAAAAAAAAAGTTCTTGACAATGTTTTCACCGTGGTAATCATTTGGGATTTTAGAAATGTCTAAGCTCTCTTTAAATGTATGGGGTATTTTTAGTGAAAGTTAAGAATAGTCACTCTGAAGGCATTTCAGGGGTAGTTCTCTGATCGCTGCTTTCTGTGAGCCATTCTCGAGCATGAAGGGGATGCACTGGTCTGCAAGCGATCCGAATGGATACTTGGTCTCGTGACGCAACACCGATGGCAAAATTGGAGGGGGGGGGGGGTGAAGATATTTTTTTTTAAGGACAAAAGTTTAAAGTAAAAAAAAAGCGCGGTCGGCGTCGCGCGCACACGGCGTGCACTCACACGTATTCACGGTAGGCCGAGTGCACGGCCGCTGCGTTGTTGTAGCGCCAGGCCACGATCACGGACGACAGCACGTCCAGAGTGGCGTCCACCTGCATCAGACAACATCATTCACCCTCACTCGCTCACCCACTCACCCACTCACCCTCGCACACACTCACCCACTCACTCTCTCACCCACTCACCCTCGCATTCACTCACTCCCTCACTCTCTCACCCACTCACTCTCTCACTCTCTCACCCTCTCATTTATCCACTCTCTCTCTCACACACCCACTCACTCTCTCACCCACTCACCCACTCACTCTCTCACCCACTCACTCTCTCACCCACTCACCCACTCACCCTCTCACCCACTCACCCACTCACTCTCTCACCCACTCACCCTTGCATTCACTCACTCTCTCACTCTCTCACCCACTCACTCTCTCACTCTCTCACCCTCTCATTCATCCACTCTCTCTCTCTCACCCACCCACTCACTCTCTCACCCACTCACCCACTCACTCTCTCACCCACTCACTCTCTCACTCTCTCACACACTGACTCTCTCACCCTCTCATTCATCCACTCTCTCACTCTCTCACCCACTCACCCTCTCACCCACTCACCCTCTCATTCATCCACTCTCTCTCTCTCACCCACCCACTCACTCTCTCACCCACTCACCCACTCACTCTCTCACCCACTCACTCTCTCACTCTCTCACACACTCACTCTCTCACTCTCTCACACACTCACCCTCGCACCACTCACCCTCTCACCCACCCACTCACTCTCTCACCCACTCACCCTCTCACTCTCTCACTCTCTCACCCACTCACTCTCTCACCCACTCACTCTCTCACCCACTCATTTACTCTCTCACCCACTCAGTCTCTCACCCACTCACTCTCTCATTCACCCACTCACCCTCGCACCACTCACTCTCTCACCCACCCACTCACTCTCTCACCCACCCATTTACTCTCTCACCCACCCACTCACTCTCTCACCCACCCACTCACTCTCTCACACACTCACTCTCTCATTCACCCACTCTCTCACTCTCTCACCCACTCACTCTCTCACCCACTCTCTCACCCACCCATTTACTCTCTCACCCACTAACTCTCTCATTCACCCACTCTCTCACTCTCTCACCCACTCACCCTCTCAGCCATTCACCCACTCTCTCACCCACCTACTCTCTCACCCACTCACTCTCTCACTCACCCACTCTCTCATTCACCCACTCTCTCACCCACCCACTCACTCTCTCACCCACTCACTCTCTCACCCACCCACTCACTCTCTCACCCACTCACTCTCTCACCCACTCTCTCATTCACCCACTCTCTCACCCACTCTCTCACGCGTGTTTGTGTTCGTGCGCAGTGCGGGCCTCAATAGGGACTATCTAACTTCCACAAAGGAACGGCGAGAGAACTCCTGGCGTCCAGACACTTCGATCGAGCGGTGTCCTGGAAACGAACACCGCACGATAAACCCTCAAAAAAATCGCCGTTGACACACACATTATGTACGCACTGTTCTGTTGAACTTCTTTCGCACCGTACGTGGCAAACCGCGCTAATCGGAAGTGCGGGGGAAGAACAGGCTGTGGTTGGGAGTAAATGGATCAAGTGGACAAAGTGAGCAAATTACTAAGTTCACTTTGCCACCATCCACGCCGAGATGACACGGTGTGCATGTGCAGTACGTGCACAGACATTTGCCAATTCTGCCGCTCGATCCTGGCTCAAGTGGAAAGACGTGTCAACTCTATCCATTGCAACTCGGACGGTGTGGTTTGTCGCTGTACCAGCTTGATGTTTTGTGCTTAGCAACTGTGCTTAAGGGGTCTCCCTGAGTCATGCGAGTTGTGGCATTTAATTGACCATACTTTATCACGCTGCGTAATAGAGGTTTTTGGTTTCGATTTAAAGCTTTCGTGACTACAGGGATTCATCTTCTTGGTTCTTTCGGTAAAGTCACGTAGAAGGGAAGTAATGAAAAAATAATACAAATAAAACATAATTTTATTTTATTATGTTTTATTTTTATTATTTTATTACTTCCCTTCTACGTGACTTTACCGAAAGAACCAAGAAGAAGAGGTTTTTGGGTTAGATCACGTAAATATATAAATGTGTCGTTAAAACCCGCCACCACCCGACACAGCTAACTAGTAAGGGTTGTCACGTAAACAGAACGTGCCAATTCGTCACTAGCACAGCACACCGGTGTGTTGGAGAGCCAAGCCACAACATTTACAAACTGAGTACGACGTTTCGCCAGTAATTACAACCAGCTTCATCAGGCGACAGCCAGAGTTGGTCTGTGCGGGTGGGTGAAGGCAGTTTTAACACGTTGGCTTTCGCGACCAATATTATCCATAACAGGTGTTTGGGTCAGATCGCGTAAATATAAATGTGTCGTTAAACCCGCCACCACCCGACACAGCCAATTAGTAAGATTTGTTACGTAAACAGAACGTGGCCAATTCGTTACGAGTACAGCACACCGGTGTGTTGGAGAGGAAACCCACAACATTTACAATCTGAGTACGAAGTTTCGCCAGTAATTCGAGATTTCTCCACAACTCTGGCTGTCGCTTGGTGAAGGCGTTGAGCATGGACGTTTATAGCATTGTACAGGACAACAAGGGATGTTGCTGCACCGCCCTCTGCTGCTCGTCAGGTGGTCCCTGCAGCCGCCTGTAGCAAGCTCTTTGTGAGCGGTGGTCACTCATCCACGCACTGTGCAGGCTCAACTTTGCTTAGCTTTCAAGGTCTGATGAGATCGGGCGCGTTCCCGATGATTTGGTCAGAAGCCACCATGTAATCGAGACTACTGGACATCTGTGATAAAGATTACTTCATAGCTTATAAGATTCCTCCATTATGAATAAATATTCTAATTTTGATATTCTATCAAGAATGTTGTCCTTCCCCCACACCTCCGATGAGCACAGTTGGCTACGTACGGTGCAAAAGAAGGTCAACATACATACTGCCCATAGACTAACACTGCCCATAGACTAACAACACTACCCATCGACTCAACACTACCCATAGACTCAACACTGCCCATAGACTCAACACTGCCCATAGACTCAACACTGCCCATAGACTCAACACTGCCCATCGACTCAACACTGCCCATAGACTCAACACTGCCCATAGACCAACACTGCCCATCGACTCAACACTGCACCTCTGATAAGCATGGTGGGCTATGTACGGTGCCAAAGAAGTCCAAAATAAATACATACAACGAATAATTGTCCATTTGTTTTAATGAAGCCAACCGCGGGTTGTCTTTAAAATAATAACACTGTGGGTTTATCAGCCAGCCCCATGCAATGCAACATAAAAAAACCCTGCTCACATCCATAAGTAACATTGTGGCTCTGGCTACGAAGAAAGGCCATCGCCAGAAATGTCACGAATTGTAAGTTTCCTCTTGAAACGGTGTTACCGATTAACGTTTGTCGAGTTATTTTTTGGTTCGTCAATCACGCTTGTTGCGCCGTTGCACCGGCGCCCAATGCGTTGCGTGGAATATTTGGGGAGGGGGGGGGCCTTTGAGGAGGAAGAGTAAACGACGTGGGTCAACGACGCCGTTCCACGATACGGCTCTCTCCAGAAGAGGTTCGTCTGCTCGAGAGATTCAAAACACCGATTCTGAACTAAACGCTGGCTCCCAAGGGGCCGTGGATGAAGGGCAGGGTGGGTCGCCGACTAAGAGCTCCATCCCACGTTCACACCCTCGAGGCAACCGGATTAAGATTACCCGGTGGATTCTATGAGAGAACAGATGTGCAACTAACACAGTCCAATTTTCTAAGGCGCAGCCCTGCAATTGCTGTGCTCACGCCACTGCTGGCGGAAGGGCCCCCACTAGAGGGAGGCTCTAAGGAGCCCCTCTAAAATGTATTTTGGTCTACTCTTCCACGCTAGCCAGATATCTTGGGAAAGGTAGGAATACCCACACTTTACCCCACCGCACACGAACTGCTGTAACCCATTTGTGCTGCTGGGTGGACAGAGGCTGGGTCGGGTTCAAGAAACGTGCCCCCATTGTTTTACCTGCCGCTCCGGGAGATACAAACTGGCCAGTGCGCTGCCTGTTACATGCACCGTGGCGGCAGTGTCCTATTCGTTAGCCTGGGAATTCGTTTTAATTGCAAAATTTATCAATTGTTGCACGATAGATGTGAGCTCTAGTATTACATGGTGGTTTATAGTGTATTGTGATGTAACCTAACACTGCATTGTGGGTCAGCAAAGCACCGTTACTGTAATGTTTTGCAGTTCGATAATGGTGTTAATTGTGAAAAATAAATTATACTTACAGCAAAACCGAATGATGATGGGCTATAGCGCAGCATGGACACCGCTACATTGGGTGTCAGTGTGTTCATGTGTGTGTGTGATTGTGTGCGTGTGAACGTTTGCATAAATGTGTGAACGAGTTGGTAGGCGTGTAATTGCATGTGAGAGCGTGTGCGTGTGGGAGTGTGTGTCAGTGCACATACACGTGTATACGCGCATGTTAATTAAGTGTTTATTTATGTGTGTGTGTATATGAGCGTGTAAGTGCACGTGTATTTGTGTATGTATATGGGTGTGTGTATATGAGCATGTGTTTGTGATGCAGATGAAAGAGAGACAAGAGGGTAGGGTGAGAGGTTATTATATATCGTCACGTAACCCCCCACGTATGGAATCATACGTGATTAATCAGCGCCTTTTACCAAACATCAAACTGATAACCGCAAACACAACAGCTGCGTTGTCGCCCTCGGCGAATGTGCTGGGCAGCAGAGGGCAACCGCAACAAGAGAAACATCCATCACCGCACCGTACTCCAATGCCCCCAGCACATCTGCGTGGCTTGTCTTCACGAAGCTGCTCCGATCTCCAGGCAGACCACGACCGCGACATGCGCGGCGTGGGTTAGTCTCGACATTTCCACGTGATAAGCCACTTTGTTGAGCTGGCCATTTGTAGGGCAGGTCGCTTCTTGAACAATAAGTGAATACGCCAATGGGGGTTTGCCTGGTCGGATGGTGGATGGTTCAGTGTTGTATTTTTATGGGTTTGGGTGATTTGTTTTATTTTCTTCTACTTTGCACTACTATAGTTTTTTTGTTGCATTGTTTGTTGTTGTAACGTTCTTACCCGCCCTTACCGGACATCTGTAAAATATCTTTATCGCTCATCGGATTCCTCCAGTATAAATATTCAGATTCTGATCCAGCAGTGGATGATAAACTGGCCGTACATGCGCATGCACAATGTACACGATGGGCATGCCCGCTTGTATGTACTGTCTGCTGAAAGGGAGAGAGAATGAAGGAGCAACCAGCAAGTGATGTGCACGGAGCGGAGTGTGTTTTCACAGGGGGTGGGGAGAGGGGCGGGATTCAGAGTGGGGGGTTGCCACACGCATCAGGAGGCCTGGAGCTGATTTCGAGGAATGGAAACGGGTCTACAGGAGTTTGAGGAAGTCGCGAGTTAAAGGAGTCGTTTTGAAATAGAGGGTGCTTAAAATGTTTTTAACACTTATACGGGACTATCGTTTTTAATGGAAAAAGAACGGATAATACACTCTGACATGATAACAGGTGTATGTTAATAGCTTCAAAAAGTCAAATAGTCTACACTTGTTCGCAATCAGTCAACACGTGCCTGCAATCTTCTCCAAGTGGTCTCTAGAGCCACGTGCATTGTGGTATTGTTGCAAATTCTCGGAATTGTTAACATTTTTTGAAGCACCCTGCACTGACGCGCGTCACCATGAGAGACGTCTGTGGACCATGAGCTCCGGATGCACTCGAGAGGGAAACTCAACACGATGCAGGCTCCACGTGCAGAGCCTTGGCTAATCCACTGCTGGATGAGAGCCTGCCCACGCCATTGCCGGTCGTGGGGATATTTTAACCGCAGGCTGGTCAGTGGGGGACGGGGGGGGGGGCTCGCTGAAGGCAAGGAGCATAGAAGTAGAGCACAACAGATGATTTTGCTGCACTGGTTCCACTTGAGAGGGAAACTTTGCACGACGCACATACGTAGAACTTATTTCGCGCCGCGTGCGTGGCTAACCGCGCTGAATCGGTCGGTGCTCGGTCGGGCGAAACTCACTGAATGCGAAGATGGAGAGGATGATGGTGACGGCGATGGAGGTCCACGACACCCAGAGGGCCTTCTTGCGCAGACTCTGCGCCTCGTGCGGTTTCAGCCGCTTGCTGCTCTCCAGAAGTCCTAAGTTGGGGGAAGGAAACGTGCGCTCAGCACAGACCATAGGTCGCAACCGGGTACCCGGTACCCGTACCCTACCCGATACCCGGCTACCCGTACCCGGCCGGGTACGGGTACCCGTTTGTGACCCTGGTGCGGCCGGGTACGGGTAGACCGTGAGTCACTGGTGAGTAACTGTTTGTCACTCATTTCCCAACGTCTTGTCTCTTCTCACAATTCAAGTTCCTAGAATCAACCCACCCGCGCCTGCAACATGGCCGCGTACGGGTACGGGTACCCATTTGCGACCCTGGTGCGGCCGGGTACGGGTACGGGTAAGGAATCAAAACCCGTTTGCGACCTCTGGCACAGACTGCAATAACGAGACCGCCGTGATCGTGAACCTGGCTATGAAGGCCTGCAAGGAATAGACATTAGTCAGGCCCTTTCTCATCCATACCATCTCATTGCCCTTTCTCATCCGTACCAACTCATTTGTGACCATTCACCACAAGAAAAAAAATCAGGAATCAAGAATAATTGTTCCGTACCCGCACAATGTGAGACATACGTTGTGTTAGAATGCGATTGAATTGAACAGATGCATCGCTACCTGCCCAGTTATTCAGGCAGCGCACGTTGAAATGATGATTCTTTTACAATTTTCATTATTATGTTATTAAATAAGCGTTCGGGGAATCTGAACAGGGAGCTGGAAGCGAAAATCCCGGGTTTGAATCCAGGTTTTCTGTCTCGTCATGATGAGATGAAAATAACTTATACACATTCGTAAATAACGCTGTGGCTTTCAAAGGAAAACAATATATAATTGGTGATGTTTGCGTAATGCCCCTACTTCACAGCACATAAATGAATGACAAATCTGTTGTCTGGGTCAATGACAAAAACTGAGCACTCGCACACTATAAGCTGAATCTCGGAGGAGAAATCTTTCACTGCACCCCACACCGCTATAAATAGCCACCCAGTCGGTGCCATTTCACACCTTGTCTTGCAACGTCAGACGTGCACCTTACCTGGCTATGACATTCACGGACGAGAAACACGGACAATTGACGAAGACAATGAAGCGAGAGTTGCAAAAGTGCGCGCTACAGAAGCGTGGACAGATGCACAATTGGAGTTGCACTGAGACACAGGAAGAGGAAGACGTGAATCGAGAGAAAATGCAGGGTGAAGATGCCGCATTGCCCGTTTATGAAATAATAATGATACTTTCTCACAGCGCTGTGCAACAATTATGAAGTGGGCTTGGCCAGGCTACATCATTTAGAAGGGACGATTGCCAGTGGGTCGAGAACAATGATGGAATAGCTGTCAAAGGAGGGAGCACGCCCCAGAGAGGACGTAAACAATGGAGATGAAAATAGCTCGAGTGTGAGGACACTAGATTAATCGCTGCATCGAGAGGCCGTGATAGTTGACAACGGCTTGGAGAGGCCTTCATCCAGCAGTGGGTATACCATGGCTGTTAAGAATGATGATGATGGTTCACATATCAAAATCACAACCGTGTTAATCAAATGAACAATGAGGCGATGGCAGAAGCCAGCCAACCCATAAAGTGGTACATATTTTATCCAAACCGGGCGTGGGAGGGGCGGGGTAGAATGTGGGAGGGATGATTGGCTGAAGTATTTGACCACCTGTCAGCATTTGATCCGTGGGAGGGGCGGGGTAGAATGTGGGAGGGATGATTGGCTGGAGTATTTGACCACCTGTCAGCATTTGATCCGAACACCTTCCACGTGTCAATCAATCGTTCTGACCGCAGCTTATTCATTCCATCATTTACTTTGTTATTGCACTTAACCGTAAATAAATATCACCCTCGCTTAAGCGCAGCCATCAGCTGTGCTACAACTTAACGGAGGCTCGCCTCCCGATCGCGCGGTTCACAACGTACAATACACACCGGCTAGATTTATGCGTAAACAAAACGACGAACCACACTGGATAGTAGACCACTCTCGTCTTTGGCTCCTTCAACAGAGGGGGAGGGGGGGGGATTGCAAAATTACACAAACTCTCTCCCCAAGGCCCTCTCGTAGCGAACAGACCTCGACATTGGCATTTAGCCCCTGAACATATTGCCATCGTACTCAAGAATGGAATGCGATTATAATGATGGGTTATTTTAACATTTTTCTCGTAAGGAACTGAAATCGAGCTGGTATTTGGCAAATCCCTACGGTTTTTTTTTTTCACGAATCCGAGGTCCACTGATCTACTTGAGGCCCCGAGCGTTTTGCAGCAACACCACCGGCTGCTCTGCCTGCACACTCGATAAACTCTGCCACTTATGGGAGACGGAGTGGTAGTCTAACCCCCACCCCCCCCCCCCCAACTATCTGTCTGATAGGTTATCGTCTCATCGACCCTTGGCACTTTACGCTGGAGATATTTTCCCCCACAAAAGGGTCGAAGGTCGGCAGGTCACATGTGCCTGCCGTGAACGTATGCTGCGGCCCGTTTGTCAACCCATTGCTAGATGAGGGCTTAGCCCACGCCGTGCAGATTGTGGGAGGTTATTTGACCACGCGGGGGCATAGAAGTACAGCGCAACTATCTATTTTACTGCACTGCCCATACAGCTCTGTAGCCTGTAACACCTGGTATGCATTGTGGTTGCCCATCCAAGCACTATCCGGGCTCCGGTTCAATTAGCTTCCGAGATCTGATGAGTTTTGGCACACTGTGCGTCATTTGGTCATGGTCATGGCACCATGGGTATATATAAAATGAATGTACGTCATATAAATGCATCTATATTTCAGTGGGAGGGAGCGTTGACATTTCGCAGGCATTGTGTAATGTACACTCGAGGAGCTGTCCGCGTCACTGAGATGGCTTTCTAATGTCTAAATTGCCATCCACCTCTGCATCTCCAGTGCGATTGCTCCATCACCACGCCATACGAGGCATTGCCGTTTAGCGCGCATCTGCATGTTGCATTGGGGGGGTGGGGGGAGATATTTCTTTTTCGGAATGCAGGATTTGTTTTGCGCGTCACGGGCGGATTTCTTGGGGAGATCGCTCGAATCAATCTGGCGGCTCAACGAGCCGTGCGACGTTAAATGCGCAAGTTGTTTTTTTTTTCTACAGACAGCCACCCTCTTAGTAGCAGCAGCGGCGGCAGCGACAGCTACAAGGCCAACCCAGCTGCTTCCCCCCCCCCCACTCCAACCATCGCCATCACATATGGGGCCATCTCTCTGGAGTAGTCGCGTTGTCTCCCGATGGGAATTAGACAACGCTGCCCACCTCCCTTGCTGTACGCTTGCAAGCGAATTACGCACCACCGCTGTACGCGTTACAAGGCGATTGTGGCAAAGCGTTGCGCTTCGAACGCGATCAAATAAAATAAAGACTGGGATTCGTTGTGGGTTAGTGTCCACGAATAACGTGATGTGCGACACACGCGCGAATGCCACTGCGTGCGCACGCAAACACGTAAAAAAATGCATGCAAATTTGCGATGACAAACAGCCTCATTGTTTTATGCAGATATGCAAAAATACACATTTGTCAAAAACCCCGTGGCCTTAAATTGGAACGTAAACATAATAGGCGACGTTGCGTGCAATGGTTCTTCTTCACAGCAGATGGAACATGTTGTTGCTGCTGTTGTTATTTGTGCTTGTGCACCACTGCCAACGCAGCATCACGCGTTCAAGCAGTCGTGTGCACACGTACATATCCACATGGACCTATTTGACATAAACGGACTGTTGGAGCAAGTGCTGTTAGCGAGCACCTGTGAAGGCGAGCACGGCACACGAAGGGGTGGGCATCACCACACCCGGCCGCCTTTGTCTCCATAGTGGCGATGTTTACACACCGCTCGAAGTACTCATTTGAGGCTGAGTCGACATAGGGGAGACCCAGGATTGGTTCAAATATCCGTCCCTGGTGATGGTGGCAGTGAGCGGGAATGGAACTCGGATCGCCGGGTTCGTAGCGCAGCGCACTAACCACCACTACGCCACCGCTCCCCCACACTCCCTTTATTACACGCACATCCACCCACCCCACACACAGCCATGAACACACACACACTGTATACACGTCCACCATCTATAAGGCGAATTCCCCTGTGGTCCACGACGCCCACACAACCCCACCACCACCAACCTCCCAACCGGTCTGCACCGGCACGCCTCCCTTCCCTGCATCCCTGCAGCAGCAGCAGCTGCAGCATCACCACCACTACCACCATTTCAAGCGGCCCTTCAGAGCGACCTGGATTGCATGCGTATTGCTATGCAGTCAAGAGAGATATATTCTTAGGTTTTTTTCGGTAAAGTCACGTAGGTAAAAAAATTTAATGAATAAAAGTTAAATATCGTGCTGTGACTGTTCCACCTGAAGACGGAAGCTTGTGTTGCTTCCGAAACGTCGTGATTTTTATTTTATTTTATTTTACTTTTATTAATTTAAATTTTTTACCTACGTGACTTTACCGAAAAAAACAAAGAATATTAATCCTTGCAGTCACGAAAGCTTCAAATCTAGAATCAAGAGAGATAGTTGTGTGTTGTCCGTCTTGAATGTCGCGGACGACAATGCATGCAACATAATGGAAGTTGCCTGACCAAGGCAGTGGAGTACCTCGATTTAAACTGGATCTGCGCACGTGACTCCAGAGTTAACAAGTCCGCGTCTCGCGCTCAAATGAGCACTGAAGCTGGAAACGTATTCGACCGTTTACAGGCCTGAGATATTAACAAGGAATCCTTTCATTCCGAACCGCACCAGATTACTTTGTTTTTTTTTTAAATATATACTGCACGCTTACAAATAGCAATCATCTCCCCTTGACTGCGAAAACCTGGCAGGACGCTCCTGAAAAAAGTGTCATGGGATTCAGTGAGGCTTTCCTGAATAACAACGACAATTTAGAACAAAAAATAAACCTTATTCTGGCTGCCTTAGCAATGGACATTTTAATATTGACCATACCAATCCTAAAGATGCCTCGGTCTGCCCCTCTGGGCATCAGGCATTGACAATCAACCCCTCAAATATTTATGAGTGCCTCAATTTTGGCCGTCCGAGCTTTGGAAATTTCCATAAACCCTGAACATTCGAATGACACTTTTATAGCGGCGGCAACGAATTCTGAAGGTGCCTTGGTCTGCATCTCTCAGTTTCTGGGTTGTTATCAATAAATCCACATAATCCTAAATATGCCGCACACTATATTATCCGCACGCTACCAGGAATTATTTGTTATCCCACACTGCAATCCCGGCGGAACGCACTCGTTCGTCAATATCACTGCTTCCTTAAAAGGAACAAAAACATGTCCTGTAATATACAGCGTTTCCAGCGATGGCCCATCGAGAGGCCAGATAAAGCGTGGATAAGAGATGGAGACTGCACATTACACGATGGCGCCCGATAATCATGCAATGTTGTCTTCTAATAATTCAAAGTAACCGTCCTTACAGATTGGATGTGTGCACTTCAAGGCAACGTTGCTATGCGACGGGATGCTCTGCGTCATTTTTGCGTTCAACTGTTCACGCACACGTGAACAAGCACACAGCCTTAAAATTAACAAAATTACACGTGTAGAAAATCGGCGACGTTTCGGGCAACAGACCTCCTTCGTAGCACACGAGTGTGGTCCGTTTTTTTGTCGACCGTTAAACAGTGCTTGTTTTGTGCGCCACCGCCACCAACGCAGCACTATCGAATCATTAACATCCTAAATGTTCTTATCGGACTACAGAGCTAGCAATTTGGCAGCGATATTCGAGTTCGTGCGGGGGGCTTCGTTTAATGTATTGTGAGCACCGATTGGAGCGGCACGCGACCCGCAGTCACAGCCGTAACTAAGCGTATACTTGATGCGGTGTGCCGGGTACACGTATGGTTTATAAGCCCCTGAGGTCTACGGTTACAACCAGAACTGTGAGAAATACAGATTTTTTTTTTGTATTTGGGCCCACGCAAATTACATGCGGGGAGGTTTGATTGGTTTCACTCGCATGACAGCTTGTCTAAGAGTTCTACTACACGGCTCCGCGTCTCATGATAAAAACACTCGCACGTACACGATTTCCCATCGTCAGTGAACCAAGTAATTGGCCTCCAGAGGAGTGTGACGCTAAATCCGATAGAAAGGGATCATTCAACAAACTAGAGGCATGCATTATACAAATCCTGGTTCGTCATAGAACAGTATCATACCTGTCAACCCCTTATCAGTTCCTTTACCTTATTACAGACCTTCTTGATCACCCCGTTCCCGTTATAAATCTCAACGTTCATCCGACAAAGTCCCATCACAAGGGAGAAACACAAACAAATAGACAAAATATATTTTTTGCCCGTATTGAAACGGATGTGTACGCCGTACGGACCTGAAAACTCAATTTCCCTGTACAAGAACACGGGCTAAATCGTATGACAGACATGATGCAGTCTATAGCAGTCTGTTCGCATAATCGCAGTCAATAAATTCCCAATTAACACCTTCCATTGTCAGAGGCTGGTTCCGTGGGTACAGTGGTCAGCGCATTGCACGATTGCACCACGGCCACCTGAGTTCGATTCCCGTCCGTGGGTGACATCAGGCGCGCGAGCGAAATCCTTCCGCCACCACTGACTATCATGGTAAAGAATGGTTTAAAACAAATAAAACCCATCACCAACACGGCGTGGGGAAGCCTTCATCCAGCAGTGGATTGATGAATTAGATTATTATTATTTGTATGTTATGCCTGTGCGTTTATACATTTGTTTACGTGCTAATATGATGGACATCAAACGATAACAAATTGCATTCATAGGCGAACTATACACATTTAAAAAACACTAATGTGATTTGAATAATAAATATTGGCAATGTTTGATGTTATGCAAGCGTAGGAATGTAATATTCATGAAATGTCAACCGTTGTACACGGAAACATGTCTAAATATCAGCTCTCTTGGCCCAGATTCTATTTATGTAAATGTACACCCCAAGCAAATCTATTGTTAAGACCGTAAGAACAACACGTACAATTTATTTCAACCCCAAAATATTGCATTGTATTTGCACCGATAATTTTGTTTTTTTATAAAGCACACACACACACACATTGACGAAGATCCTTCGACTGTCGTTTCGAGTTGTGTTCGCGAGCGCCTATTAAGTCCGTCACGTCGGTAGGACGGTGCGGCAGGTACCACGCCCAGGACACCGCCTTTGTCGCTCCGGCGCTTCTGTTTACATTACGCGACAAGCAGACCGACTCATTTAAGGCCGAGTCAGGCCAGGGGGGGGGCCCAGAACAGATGCAGATATCCACTGCTTGAATCAAGGCACCTCCACGCCTCGACACGGTCGTGGAGATCGTTTTGACCATACTTCACCACGCTGGTGAGTTGGTCATCTTAGCCGCGGTAGCCGCGAATGGAACACAGAGACCGCCAGCCTGGGGGATTGTAGCGCAGTGCGCTAACCACTACGCCACCACTCCAACCAAAACACACACAACACACACAACACGTACAGCTAAGATTCAAAAACACACACATCACCTTTCTGGTCCCACGTCTGGGCGTTTTCCATCGTCATCACGGACACTTCTGTGTCGCAGAGTTCTCTGGACGTCTCGTCGCTTCTCCTCGCTTCCCCATCCACCTCGTCCCACGAACCATCGCCGCCGCCAGACGCCGTGGTGGTGATGGTCGTGGTGGACACGTGGAGGTCAACATCTCCGCCTTTCTTTGAACTACCAGCACCACCACCACCACCACCGGCCACTGCGGTCTTCAACCAGTCTGCAGGGCTGGGTCCTCCTTCCTTTCCCCACGACTCCACGGGGATGGAGGTGGTGTGGCAGTCTTTCTCCCTGCCCGGGCGCTGGGTTATCGTCGGCTCATCAGTTGACGACATGACTCCTCTTTCCGGCAAAAGAAGACGACGACGATGCTGTCGGTCTGGAGATCGTGTCAACGGATCAAGTCACTCACGCACAACACCTGCACCGCGTCGCCAGTGACGCTAGTGTATGGCAAAGATCTCCGATGCCCGCTTAATTGCTATCGGATCTGCCACGCGAGCCTAATTGCTCGCCCTATCGTTCTGGTTATCTGCACAAGGGCGGGTGGGAGTGTGCTCGGGTTTTTTTTTTTACACGCGTGCCTCCTTTATATAGATGCGCGCGCGTGTGTGTGTGCGCGTGTGCGTGGGTGCGTGTGTGTGTGTGGCTGTGTGTGTGCGCGTGTGTATGGGTGCGTGTGTGCGTGGGTGCGCGCGTGTGTGTGCGCGCGTGTGTGTGTGTGCGCGCGTGTGTGTGCGTGTGTGTATACGTGCGCGTGTGTGTGCGCGTGTGTGTATGTGTGCGTGCGTGTGTATACGCGTGTGGGTGCGTGTGCGTGCGGGTGTGTGTGTGCGCGTGTGTGTGTGTGTGTGCGTGTTTATACGCGTGTGTGTGCGTGCGTGTGCGTGTGTGCGCGTGTGTGTGCGTGTGTGCGCGTGTGTGTATGTGTGTGCGCGCCTTGTGATGCAACACGATTCTTGCGGTTTGCGTACAAGATGATTGAACCGGATCGGTCATGAAATATCGTGGAAATTAAGAACGTCACCGGCAGCAGCAGCAGCAGCAAGCCGTGGTCAATCCACTGCTGGATGAAGACCGGTCGGGATCGATGCCGCACGCGTGCGATGACAAGGTGAGATAGGAGAGGTGAACGCTCGGATGAGAGAACGTCAGCAGTTTTAACGCGATTCGGTTTATTTGACTGCTGTGAAAGTAAGTGGGCTTGGTGGGCAGGACTACTTCGCCAAAAGAAATAATGTACGAGTTTATGTTGCTGCTGTTGTTGTTAAATATGGTGACGTTACAATTTTCGTTGACAGAATATCCAGCACGCGTGTCCACCGAAAGCCCTCAAAGTGCGTTGTGCCCCGCATACCGACCCGAGTTCGATTCCCGGCCCTTGCTGACGTTCGTCACGGTCCTTATCCTAACCGAGATCGACTTTGGGGTAGTCCATAAATGACGTCACGCGATTTTGAACGATTTTTGACCCCCCCCCCCCCTCGTCACACGGCGTCACAAAAAGTCAGAACCCCCTCAAATATGACGTCACAAAGCTCTGCCACCCAACTAAAAATAAAACATGCTTCAAATCGCTTTAAACTATTGTCATTGTAGTGCGTATTTAATATGCCGCTGCACTCTGATGTTGTAGGAGAAAACATGTATTAAAAAGTATATTTAATTAAGTAGAACGTGTTGTCTATATTTATTTAAAGTTGCGCATTTTGATGTGACGTCACATTTCTCAAACCCCCCCCCCCGTCACACATCGTCACAAATGTCTGACCCCCTCCCCCCCCTAGGTGCGTGACGTCATTTATGGACGGCCCCTTATCGCGTACACGAGTGACCATGTCCCGGCTTCAATAGGTGCTCGCGAAGAGAGCTTTGCCCCTACCCCCTCCCAATAGTCTAGGGCTATGGATAGGTTGTTGTTGTGGTTGTTGTCTTTGAACACGAGGAAGTAGTGTGGTTAGAACCACTCCCGGACGTCTTTGTCTCCCACATTGGCGACGTTCACACACCGTACCGGGCACTCGTTTAGATGCCGAGGCGTGTGGGTGGCGGGGAGGATATCCCGATAGGACCGGTTCAGATAGTCAACAATCGAACTCGGGTCGCAAGGATCGTATCGCAGCGCGCGAACCACTACACGACTGCTCCCCACACTCACAGACATGCGCACGTACACGTGCAATGATAAAAACGTTGCCTATGTACAGGACATATATATACACACACACACGTGCATAAAGACAAACAGCAAAGAATATAAAAGGCACGTGACTTTGTAGAACTATAATCGTCTGCACCGCTCACAATAGCAACGCGCACATTAGAAGAATGCAAATTAGATCGAAGAATCGACGATTTATTGCGAATGCAAATTAGATGCAAATGTGACGATCAAACAACGTTGCATTTACGCAGAGTGAATTGGCGGCATGTACTAACGCAGAAAAGACAACACATAACAAACGAGATTTTAAAAAACGAAACGATTTTGAATCGAATGGGAATCACTGAATCGTGACGATGCAAGATATTTGAAGGTATGTGAAATCCTAACATAAAGCATCTGCGATAGTATGGTGCAATAAAGTCTATGAATGAATTAATTAAGAATTATTTAAATATCCATCCGCTACTGCGGCTACCCCCCCGCCGCCACGCGCACACAGCGCAAATCAAGGGGCGTCACTGCGTTGTGATTTAATCAGCGTTTGAATCTTAAGTCGAAACAATCCTGAACGCCGAGCTATTTTAGCACTACAATGACAACAATGGTCATTCCATGCGCCGGATTTATAGTTATTTATAGAAAATGTGTGCGCACTGTTGTAGGAATATATAGGGTACAATAATATAGGCGCAAAGCCAACCTTATAGCAGCGTTCCGGAAGAGAAAAAACATCAAGTGAGAAATTAACCCCTGAATATAATCAATCGGTTGTTAAATACCCGAAGTCGTGGATGCGAGCTCGGGGTATGTAACACATAATTGATACTCATAGCAGTTGATTACCAATTGGGGTGGCAATTTTTTTGAATTCATAGATTAGGCCAATCGCGTACATATTTACAACGTGGCCCCACTTTTGTCCAATTCGGGCCTTGGAGGCATTTTAATCAATATAATCAGGATTTAATTTCTCACTTTCCGGGTCGCTGGTATACAAGAGTAGGCGCGTGACTAGCAGCCACAGCCAAGGTGTGTATACTGGATGTGATGTACCGGGAGCTGATTTGTTTTGACTACTTACGGGTTTCTGACCCGGACAGATTCGGCCGAAATGAATCCCATGATTATCGTAGATATATATTTTAGTCTGCTCAATATATGCACTGTATGAAGAAAACAATATGCTGACGGCGCAGGACTGTGAAGAATCGGGATGGGCTGGAGAGGCTTTCATCCAGCAGTGGATCGATCGTGACTGATAATTATACAGCAATGATGGCATACTACTGAATGCCACGTAGGGTGTATATTGTATTAATACGTATAAGGATTAATAGCTTAAATTCTAATGGAATATTATTCAGTGGTGAGGGGGGGGGGCAATCCCGGATATCGGTGGGGGAGGGAGAGGGGGAGTTAATTTTCCGGAACACGGCCCCGGATAGCACTGGCTGAAGTTAAACCCTGCATAGACTGTATGAATGTACCCACGTGTTCAGACCCCTCCACCTCCTACGCAAATCCCCATTTCTGTTACTCGCTGTGTGACCTTGCGCCTTTGTTCTTATCGAGCGAGAGTGTTAAGAGACGCAGTACAAACCCGATTGTCTCAGACGCGACCGTAGTTATTCAGATGTACAGCTAGCCAAAGGAAATCTGCAAAACCACGAAATGTTCACATTATTATTAAGCGCATTGCATATATAGTACTGTATTGAGACATTTGCAGAATTCATGAGTTGGTCGATATGTTTTTCTCTCTAAATAAATGAAAAAATAGCTTTGGGGTTTTGCCATAATGGGCTGCATAATGCACCACGTTGTAGCAACATGAAAAAATAATTGAGTTTCAAAACAGTGGATGGGAGAAAAATAACAAATAATTGCAGTTATTCTCAGTCCGCCGATGGATGAACGCCTTCCCCACGCAATGTCGATCATGAGTGGTTTGTGATCATACTTTCACACGCTGGTCCGTGTGGGTTGGCGAAGGGGGCGGACTGGGAGAACCGGTTGTGGCATCACTTCGACACTCACTGATGGTCGTCGTGGCTGGAATATAATTTGGGTCGCCGGGTTCGTATCACAGCGCGATAACCACCTATCCATAATTAAAATTCAACATTTTTTTGTTCAAAATTACATTGCACCAGTTTCCCATAACCGGGATAGAAATCAACTTTCGTTATAATGTGGATTTATATGCGTTTCAGTGTGGCAACATCTCGAGGTGGGCGTACTTAATTGATTGATCACAATCACCAGCAGTCAACCGCATTGGCCAACATAGAAGAATGTTGCTACACAAGCCGTAAATACTAATTGACGAATTGTCCAATTTCGAGTGTGCACCATGAACGAACGAGTGGATGGTGCCACAGGGGTGCAATAGTCAGCACACTGGACTCGTCATGGACAGACCGTCTGTTCGATCTCCCGTTGCGGCATTTAAACAATGGGGCCACGTTGATCAAATTCCACTGCCCCCCTCCCGCACCCGCACACACATCTGTCCACCCAGCAGTGTGTGGTGGGGTAAAGTTTGGTCAGTGAGATCTGTATTCTAAAGGGGCTTTCTTGAGCTCTTGCCAATAAGACCTGGCAATCCTGCAGCATGTTGAACAAGCCTGACTGCTGATGAGACCCAGAGGGTCGAGACCGTCGGATATGACTGGTCTGGCTGATGGGCTAACGCGGCGGCGTTCTTCATTGCAAGGCCCGCAGGCCTCTGGCGGCCCCTGGTGGCCTTTAGTGCGGCCCCTGGTGGCCTGTAGTGCGGCCCTTGGTGGCCTGTAGTGTGGCCCCTGGTGGCCTCTAGTGCGGCCCTTGGTGGCCTGTAGTGTGGCCCCTGGTGGCCTCTAGTGCGGCCCTTGGTGGCCTGTAGTGTGGCCCCTGGTGGCCTCTAGTGCGGCCCCTGGTGGCCTCTAGTGCGGCCCTTGGTGGCCTCTAGTTCGGCCCCTGGTGGCCTCTAGTTCAGCCCCTGGTGGCCTCTAGTGCGGCCCTTGGTGGCCTCTAGTTCGGCCCCTGGTGGCCTCTAGTGCGGCCCTTGGTGGCCTCTAGTTCGGCCCCTGGTGGCCTCTAGTGCGGCCCTTGGTGGCCTCTAGTTCGGCCCCTGGTGGCCTCTAGTGCGGCCCTTGGTGGCCTCTAGTGCGGCCCTTGGTGGCCTCTAGTGCGGCCCCTGGTGGCCTTTAGTGCGGCCCTTGGTGGCCTCTAGTGCGGCCCCTGGTGGCCTCTAGTGCGGCCCTTGGTGGCCTCTAGTGCGGCCCCTGGTGGCCTCTAGTGCGGCCCTTGGTGGCCTCTAGTTCGGCCCTTGGTGGCCTCTAGTGCGGCCCCTGGTGGCCTCTAGTGCGGCCCCTGGTGGCCTCTAGTGCGGCCCTTGGTGGCCTCTAGTGCGGCCCTTGGTGGCCTCTAGTGCGGCCCCTGGTGGCCTCTAGTGCGGCCCTTGGTGGCCT